TTTCTCTCAATTAAAGCATGTATTGTATCAGCCTCCATATGCGTATGGCCTTTAAGCAAAAATTTTTGATTAATAATCTTAATTTGTGGCCATTTATGCAAAATCCAAAATAAACAGGCTATTAGCATAATATTCTTATTTTGCCCATAGCAATTGTCTGACCATAAGGTTATTTCTTCGACATCAGCTTTGGGAATTACCAATTCTGCCCAGTTGAGAAGGGCCGATGCTATCTCGTCACCACCACGGCCAGCTTTTGATTCGTCCCATATCATACAATGAGCTGTTCCGTCTGAAGCTTCATGAATTGTGAAATCAAATGTCCATAATTTCCGTTTGTAGAAATTTAATCCACATGTCAACATCGGTGTCGGCAAACATTTTTGCAGATCTGCAGTCAATACTTTATGTTTATTATTATGTTTGGCAATATCCTTATCAGCATTTTTCAAATCATATCTTTGCTTTGCATCGGCTAGGTGAGCATCATAGCTTTTCTGTAGGGTTTCTTGGTCGGTTGAACTTAAAAGGGTGTCTTTCAATTGGCTGCAGTACATATCACAAGTATTACATGTGTCATTTTCTACAACTTTGAATTTCAATTTAAATTGTGTATTAAAAACATGTGTATAAACCCATTTTTTAGCAATGGCAGAGGTAGGTATATTGATCTCTTTACAATGTTTTATGTAAAGTTGATACATTTTCTCGATATTTAACTCTGGAGACAAAAATTTACTTTCAGTTTGTTCTCTACAGTAATGACTCTCGTACGAAGGAAACGACAGTATATGTTGAGTAACGTTCTGGATAATAACTTCGGATGTTTTGTTACTAGGAACTTGTCGTCCCCTTTGGTCTGATTCAATTATTCCTCCAGGTTGTCTTTTCTTTAAAGCAGTTATAACAACTGAATTTGAAATTGCCAGAGTATTTAAAAACATAGTTTTACATACTTTAATGGCTACATTGTTGACGAAAAACTTATAAATCAGCGTACTTTGTTTTGGTTTTGTGACGTTTCGTCTCGTTATTGCTGTGGGTTTACTTTATACACAAGAAACAATAAACTGACGCTTGATATTATAATCAGCCGTAGAGCTCCAATAGTGATTAAAAATAGTGAGCCTATCACTATGTGTAAATTTTTCAAAGCATTTCATTCTACAAGAACAGACGGCTTTCATTTCTCTTGCAGAAACAGTCTTTCCTTTTTTGGACACATATGTTTCTCCAGCTGCGTAGCTTAGTTTTCGTTTATTACACTTCCACTTATTAACGTGTACGACTTTCTTCTTTCCCAGTTGTTGAAGTTCCGTTTTGTTTTTGACTTTTCTCTTTTGAGTAATATTATCCGCATGTTCTTGTTCAGTTGAAACATTCGTGCTTCTAACTGTATTTTTTTGTTTTCCAATAACACCTTTATTAGAATCTAAATTACCATTTGCTTTTTTATAATCTAATGTTGCGGTTTCATTTTTCGTCTTTCGGTACAGATTTCCATTTGTGTTTGAACTTGAATCAGATTCTTCCATACTACTTGGATTATATGTTTCATCAAGAAAAGAATCATCTGTATTGCTGCTAAATGAAGAACATCGGGACCGCTGACTACAGGATGGTACCATCAGCTCATTTACTGGAGCTCCTGAAGGAGTAAATAAAATAAAATATGATACGGATCATAAGTGTTAAGAAAGTTTACCTGTATGGCCTTCATTACTTTCCACTTGAGAATTCAGTGCATCTTCTACATTTCTACATATCGACATATCGCTATCTGTAAACAAAAAATATTCTTTTAAATAAAATATGATATGGATCATAAACATTAAGAAAGTTTACCTGTATGGCCCTCATTACTTTCCACTTGAGAATTTGGTGCATCTTCTATATTTCTACATATCGACACATCGCTATCTGTAAACAAAAAAAAATCTTTAACAAAATTCCTTGTATCTAATATAGAATATAAGATCTGGCAACGTCGCAAAACAACCATACGTAACCTTATGTGCTTCACTCGTAAAATTAAATTTACAACCTAACCTTAATTATTATTATTAGCAACACATTTACTTACCAAAATTCTCGTTATTTGCCATATTAAAAACAACCATTTGTACCAGCTTTTTCCCTCTGTAATTCATGATCTAATAATATGATTCACTAACAGTTAATACAAACAAATAAACAATAAAACCCACTATAACAACTTGCTAGGCTACGTTGATAATCTCGAATACCATGACAAACTTGCCATAGTTGCCAAAAATAACACCGATCATGTTTCTAAACACAATGAATCTTATGTTATACCCAGAGGAATACTACACTATGTCCACATAGTGCAAAGGAAATGTGACAATCTTAATAGGAAAACAACACCAAGTACTGTTGGTGATATATACCTCTATAGAAGTTAATACATAGTGTAATATATCCTCCAGAATAATGCATTTATAGTCGAGCTAGGACATAGTGGATTATACCTTTAGAAAGAGAATTTAAAATTACGTAACACTATGTCAAGATCTCAATATTACACTAAGTTGACATAGTGTAGTTTACCTCCGACACACAGATATATAATATACCTGAAGAGTCTACTGTGCAGAAAAATTATCTCTATACTGTATATAAGGAAAGTATGCTGCAGATAAAGACATTTATTGGTGACAACTACCTTTCCATTATAATTGATGAAACTACAGATTCTTGTGGTAGATATACAACACATCTATTAATTGAGGCGTTAGATGAAAATAATCCAGGAATTTCTTATTTAATATCATCGAAGCAGCTTGGCAAAACAAATAATGTAACATATTACAGATACAATTATTACAAACTTCTTTTTATTCTAACATAGTGCCTAGTGAAAAGTTTTTAATGTTATTGTCAGATGATGCACCTTGTACACACAAATCATGACAAAATTTTAAAAAATATTATCAGAATTTAGTTCAGTGTTTGCCACATGGAATTAATAGAGTAGCAGATCAAATAAGGTGCGAGTTTCCATTAGTAAATGAATTAATTAGTAGCATCAAGAAAGTTTTGAGAATTCAATTATATAAGTAAAAACTTCCAGATCTCCAATTGCCACCACAACCTGTTATACCCTGCTGGGGAACCTGACTTGATGCAACAGTTTTCTATGCCAAACATTACAATACTTTAAAAGAATAATTCTCGATATAAAGTAAACTGTCTGACTTCTCAGGCAATTTTAAAAGCATAAGAACTATTTAAAGATAACCAATTAGTACAGGAACAACTTATTTTTATTGAAGGTAATTATAATTTTATATTCAATACAAATATATTGTAATATTTATATATCTGAATATTTTAATGTAACTGTGATGCCGTCTTGGTGACTATGGTGTAAACGGAAAGTATTACAAAATCCTCTACTGCACGCAACATCTTAAAGGAAAGAAATATCTCGAGTTGAAAGGTATTTATTTCAGGTTTTATTAACTAAATACCATGAAACTGATTATTACCAAAAAAATGAAGTTGTTTAGATGATGTTTACACAATCTGACATAAATGTGATTTTTATGTGAACTTATTATCAGTGTCTGCTGAAAAAAGTTGTGGAAATAATCTGCTGATGATATGAATAACTTTGCAAAGGATTGATGAAGATACTAAAACAATCACCCAAGTAGTAAGAGCACCCCCACATACAACACAGAGCAAAAAACAATACTCTAATAGTATAATAACTTGATATATTTGGAGGGAAATGAGAAAGTAGAAAAAAATATTGGGTTGGGAATAAAATACGGGTTTTTACCTCACATTGAATTTCCCCCCATTAGGAAGTTAGGAAAACAGCTCAAATTTGGAATGTAACATTTGTAATCAAAAGAAATATGGAATTAGCAAAAAACATGAAAGGCATATTGAAAAATGGAAACTAAAATGTTGTTTGCTCAAGTATGAGCATTGTGGCATATGATGTATGTAAGTAGGTATATATTTATATATGAAATATTGATGACATTCATCTCTATTTTCTTGATTCTGTGTTGTAAATATCTGCGTATGATATGCTGAACAGTAACCAAAATCAGACTGGTAGTATTCTTTCCATCTGTTGAGAGTCTTTGTTTTCTAATTCACTTCCTTTCCTCCTCATTTACCTCTTTTTTTATGCACCACAAGACTCAAAATCGAAAAAGGAACAAAAACAAGAATAGTAAAAAGTAATAGTAAAAATGCACTTACATAATGAGATTTAACACAATTAAAAGTTAAAACTAGAAGGAAATAAACAACAATAGGAAAATGAACCCATTAAGTTGGAATACATAGTTCAAAGTTCAAATACATATTTAAGAATATAAAGTTTTCAGATGCATGAATCCAAGAACTTGAATGATGTTGACATTGGTAATGGAAAAACATTATATTGACAAAAAATTTTATATCTGAAGAACATAATGTTAACAAGAAAAGAAACATTGGTCAATACCTTTCATGTATTTGCTTTTATTGTTTTAAATATGTTTATCTGCCCTACCCCTTTTGAAAAATTTAATTAGGCATACTAACTTACAATCTTACAATCAATTACTGCGAAATTTCTGACATTTCATTGATTTTAGATTAAATCAAAATATGTTTCATTTAACTCACAACACCCACCTGCACAATAAAAATGCACAAGAGGCACTCAAGATAAGCTTGAAACTATGTATGAAGGAGCATAGTGACAATATGTCACTTTTTTAAATGGTAAAATAAAAAACATAATTTGATAATTTCAATAAATTAGGCTGTTCTGGGTCAAGGTAACCTACCCTTAGACAACTGTCAGTTGGGTCATTGAATTTGATAGACTTTTTTTACCTTAATACAAATTCTTGTAATGACGTCCTGAATTACATTTTGACCTTGGTATAGTAAATACTACTCTGTCGATCATGAAATTACGTTAAAATCAACGATAAAGAAGTCGTAACTTCACGCAGTAGTATCATTCCAATCAATGTAGAATGAAGTGAGGTAACCAGACAAAAAGTACGTGTAAATGCTTACCTGACAAAAAACCAATCCACTAAAGTTAAATAATAATTTAACAGGTAAGAAAACTTTAAAAATTGTATTTAGCGTTTACTGGAGAAAATCAACTAACCTAAAAACTATTTTGTCACTCCAAAATATTCATGTTATGGTTCGATTTACGTAACCCGTGTAAATATCATATACTTGTGCTTAAGATGACAGAAGGTGGTTTTATAAACATTTTTATTTCTGAAATAAAATAATTTGTTCAATGTTTTAAAAAGATTAATTCTTTCATATTTTAATATAAACTTAACAAACTTATAAATCATATATGGGATAGTTATTCTTACTAATTTTATTTTTATAAACTAATGAATTCTAATCGTTGGCTTCAGTATATTCTGTTTTGAGCACTGTATAATGTATTATTTCAATATTGGTTGGTTTTCTAATCGTTTTGTTCTTTTACTTTTGTCAGTCTTTCTATATGATTAAATCTATTCGTTCCTTTTCTCATCTCTTCTCATAGTTTTGTTTTAGTTTTATATACCTACTGCTGTTTCTGTCTCATTTGTACGCTCATTACCTCGTAAAGAAAAGATCACATGTATAGTTTTACTTTTTTATTGTTTGTGTTTAGGAATACCAGAAAACACTTAATAAATCTTCACTAAGATGACTGAGAAACAAAATAAATTGGCAAGATGGTACTTTGGAGGTTTGGCGTCTGCAGGAGCAGCTTGCTGTACTCATCCTTTGGATCTTATAAAAGTTCATTTACAAACACAACAAGAGGGCAAACTTTCCATAGTTGGTCTCACAATAAATATTGTTAAAAAACAAGGTAAGAAACACTTAAGTTTAAGTGCTTACTTAATTTTAGCTAAGAGTTTCTTTTTTAATTAATAAAGTGGAAGGCATCTACATTTTAATAGTTTTTAATACAAACTCTATTATATAGCTAAGTTGTGTAATGTTTTATTTTAGGTATTGCGGCCTTGTATAACGGACTGTCTGCTTCACTTCTTCGACAAATGACCTACTCCACTACAAGATTCGGAATATATGAAGTAGCCAAACAAAATACTCAAAGTGATACTTTTGCTGCAAAAGTTGCTATTGCCGCAATCGCAGGAGGAGCTGGCGGCGTAGTTGGTACTCCTGGTGATATGGTAAATGTTAGGATGCAAAATGACATCAAATTACCTCCAGAAAAGAGAAGAAAGTAAGTACCAAGTTAATTATATTAAAATGACAGGAAAATATCTTCAGAACAATAATATATTTGTTGTTTCAGCTATAAGCATGCTGTTGATGGACTAATACGTGTGTACAGGGAAGAAGGAGTCAGAAAACTATTTGCTGGTTGTACCATGGCGACATCTAGAGCAGTATTTATGACGATAGGTCAATTATCATTTTATGATCAAATTAAAACACTGTTATTGTTAACTCCTTACTTCTCTGACAATTCGTTGACCCATTTCTTGTCTAGCCTTAGCGCGGTAAGTCTATACATCATCAATTCATTCTAAACTAAGACAACTCGGCCTAGATTAACTTTGAAATATATGCTTACGTTTACTGTATAATAAAAGGGCTTTTGTATTCTAGGGCGCTATCGCTACGACTTTAACGCAACCCCTCGACGTTTTGAAAACAAGATCCATGAACGCCAAGCCTGGAGAATTCAAATCTTTGGGTGAATTAATACTGTACACTGCCAAACTGGGACCGTCAGGCTTCTTCAAAGGCTATATTCCGGCATTCGTGAGACTAGCACCTCAAACGATACTGACGTTCATGTTTTTAGAACAATTACGTCAAAATTTCGGGTATTATCCGCAAAAATAAATCAATTGATAAGTAGGTAAATATGTCAAGTTATGGACATCATTTCAGAATTCAATCATAACCAGGCAATACATCATACGTTAAAGCGTATTATGCGTTGCCCCAACCCTCTTAATTCAAAATTATTTTTGCTGAATTGATAGGTAACCCATCATACATAATATAGTATTATGGGTTGCCTGTATTTTCATTGGATTTATAAATATGCTGTTGAGATTCACAATGTCTTTAATTTGAAATTTACTTTTCAAATTAAAATTCATATGAAATGATGTCTAATATAATTTGAAGTGATCGTTACAGTAATTGACATAATTTGAATGTAACTGAAGATCAGGTAAATGCTTTTGATGGTATCTTAGTACCTGTTAAAACTTATATTCCAGTTAAGTTGCGTGAATTTGGTGTAAATTCACAGTTGTTGACAGTAAAACGTAAAACATTAGGTTTTCAAATTTTACCAGTGAATTTCCAAATATATATCCTAACTTCTGTTCAAAATTGTATACCAAAAATATTTTTGTAGTTATTTTGTTTAAAATCTGTACAAATCAATGTAAATATGTCTTAAAATTATAATATACATAGCTTTTATGGGGGTTAGGTAGATAGCATTTAAATTCTGTTTTTGTTTATAGCTTTTATCTGAAACTGTTCATTCCATAGAAGGTATTATTTGTGTTGGTTTGGTATATTTCATATTGACTTGTTATATTGGTGGTCTACACTTACTATATCTGGTTAAACAAAGGAATGAGCACCAAAAATCGTTAGTGAATAATCCAGTTCCAAAATGTATTTGTTATGTATAAAAGTGTGTAAATGTTATGTATCATCAACAAAGGTTTATGATATTCTAACAAATCGGATATGACCTAATTATATCAGCTCTTGTTAGTAGAGACCTTCATAATTCCATACAGTGTTGTCCAAAGATATCAATATATTTATCGAAGTAAAATTGATTGCAAACTAGTTAACGTCATATTGAAAAGTTCCTTAATGAATGTTATTTTAACGTAGAGAGTCTGTACTTGAAAATTAGATATTAGAGAAAGTGTATGTTTTTTATGTATTTAAACAATGCGGAAATAGCTAAATTTGGTTTTTGTTCAAATTTATGTTAACATGAACAAAAATCAAATTATGTGCATTTATTATAAATAATTAGGTATAGCTGCAATAAGTTTCTTTATCATTATATATTGCGAAAATTACCTTTTTCTTTAAAGAACGGCTGATTTCACTTATTTTATAGCCTTACTATTTTCTAATTGATTTTCTTATAGATCACAATGGCTGTGTATAAATACAGTATGTTTACAAGCAGCTAATCATATTGGAGTAAGAACAACTAAGTGAAAGTTTAAAATTAGCTTCATCTTTTCTCATCTAGAACATTATTAATTGCTTGTAACATGCTTTTAAAACTACGCTGCATTTAAAACTGAAATTGTAAAAATTGTCATTTCTTGAGGTTATGAATGATTAAAAAGGTTCTTTGGCGCCAAAAAATGACGTCATCTCAATATTATAGTCAACACTAAGCTATAGATACTTATTGTTTAACACATATTTGTGTATAATCGAGTATATTTTTAGAAATATTTTACCTACGGGTATATTTTTTTAGCTGTTTTATTTAAAAAAGTTTATTATTCGTTATAAAAACCAGTTTTATATACATAAAATGTCCCAGTCAAAAGTGCCAAACCTAAAACCCCCAAAAATCCGAACCCCATATTTAAATAAATGTTGTTATTGTACTTATACGCAAATAATATATATAGCAATATTGTTTTCGTGTTCAAAATTTAATGTTTGAATTTGTTTTTAAATATTCCTGGCAATATTTTTCTTTATTAAGTTTGTCCGTTGAGAATTATGTAGTTTTTTTTTTAATTTTTAAAATGTATTTTTTAATAAAAGACTGTATAAATGATTTATTTATTATACTCTGTACCAAAGGTACATTAAACAAATAAAAAAACGGTTGTACAAACAGTGCGAATTGATTTTTTTTGGACATATAAAAGACAAAAACTCTCAATACCAGTAGTATAAAAGTTTCACATTGTTTGGACAAAATGTTCTGATATATTAGTTGAGGTTGAAATTATATTTTGGCAATAAAAACAAACAGTTTATAGTAGTTTTATTTATTCTTCTGTATATTAATACAAGTACAAGTTTTAAATAATAAACATTTTAATCAAATTAAATTCGTTATTGAAAATGTAGTAGAGAAGTATAGGAACTTGGAGAAACTCTACTAAATCTAAAAAACTGCGCTACTTTGTTCACATACTAATCACACGTCTCGATTGAAACATTTAAGATAGTACAGCGAAAAAACAACAATAGAACTTCTAAACTACTAACATGTAAAAGGTGATCGACACATGGAATTAATAGAGTAGCAGAGCAAATAAGGTGCGAGATTCCATTAGTAAATGAATTAATTAACAACGTCAAGAAAGTTTTTCTTCTTTGAGAATTCTATTAGATAAGGAAAAACTTCCAGATCTCCAATTGACACCTCAACCTGTTATACCCTGCTGGGGAACTTGCTTTGATGCAGTAGTTTTCTATACGAAACATTACGATACTTTAAAAGAATGATTCTCGACCTAAGGTAAACTGTCTGACCTCTCAGGCAGTTTTAAAGGCACAAGAACTATTTAAAGATAACCAATTGCAGGACTAACTTATTTTTATTGAAGTAAATTATAATTTTATATCCAATACCATTTTACAATTGAAACCACGTATGTACGTTTGAACGACTCTGTCAATTTGGTGGAAAAGTTTTACACAAATTGTAAAAATGTAAAAGGTCCATTAGGAGCAACAATTTGAAAATTTCACATTATTTGGACAGTTTTCTGATATATTATAAGTTGAGGTTGAAATTATATTTTGGCAATAAAATAAGCAGTATATAGTCGTTTTATTTATTCTTCTTTATACTAGTACAAGTACTAGTTTTCAATAATAAAACATTTTAATCAAATTAAGTTCGTTATTGAAAACATAGTAGAGAAGCATAAGAGATAAGAACTCTACTAAATTAAAAAAAAAACTGAGCTACTTTGCTTACATACTGCTAAGGTTGCAAAGTGAGCTGTGATGGACGCCAAAGGCGCACTAAGAAGAAGATTGAAAACGATTTACTCTCAACATGATAGGCAACACATCATCCACATATGTGCCATACGTATTGCATAATACAGATTACACCTTTTATAAAATAAATCTATTAATTTGTGGGTCACAGAATCGTGTACTATAAACTGTCTACCCTTTGTATTTATGAAGCTATTACTATTTATTCTTAAATACAGTTTTACAGTTTATAGTTCTTAAACAACGTTCTCTGCTGAACTGTATGTGATACTAAAAGCACTAGTTCCGATGGTTAATAAAAGTAAAAAGAGAGAAAAATATCATTATTACAGATTCTCTCAGCTCAACAATGGCATTAAACCAATCCTACTGCAATCATCCACTACTCCTTCTCGTTAAAAAGGAACTATAATATGTAGAAAATATTAACATTAAAGTTAAATTTATATGGGTACGGTCACATACTGGAATCGAAGGAAACGAGGTTGTAGACAAAATAGCAAACAATGCACCTACTAACCGAAACGCAGAAGAGAATACGAGATCTCTTCACACCGACCTAAAAGCATTATTGAAAGAAAAGATTAATTCAATATGATAGGATACGTGGAAGAACTCCTCAACCAAGCTGTACGAAGGTGATATTAATTATCAAAAATTCCCAAAATTTAACAATAGAAGAGAGCAAGTAACACTACTACCTACTCAAACGTGCTGATAAACCTATGTGTGACATGTATAAAAGTGTCTTAACGGTAAAACATTGCAGTGCCCCAAGTATGATGTGAAATGCAAAATGTACAACATACCATCAACATTAAATAGTGCTCTTGGAAAAGACAGTGATACTAAAAATATTTTCGCCTTTCTCAAAGACTGAAAGCTGATATCAAAAATCTAATATTTTACTTTGTATAGATTTAGGTTTATTTCTATTTATATATTGCTATGGTTAATATTCTATTGTTAAGTTCTAATTCACAATCCATACACGCTAATAAGCCTGCGTGGTTGATGATTATAAACGTTGTTCGTTTAATTTCTCCTTCAAGTTTCGTAAAAACGTATGTGTTTGGGAAAGTATGTGCGAATTCATTTCATATTTTTACAGTTAATATTTTTTCTGTTACGGTACTGTAATATGACCTAATTGGGGTGCTGTATTTCAAAGATCTTTTTAAAATATATTATTTCCTGTGAGTTCGTAAAACTTAAACTGGCTCTCATTTATCATGTTAAAGTACGCAGAATTGGGCTTTTTTCTTTGTATTCTATGTCAGAAAGATCTGTTGAGCTGTTGAGCACCCCACAGTTAGAGGCTGGTTTGTGCCCTAGAAACGATCTCAAAATCACTTCTTCGTCAGACAACGATCGATCGACACGCATCTAGTTCCGGGCGGTTCTCGTGCTGGGCCTCGGGCGACGGCGACGCTAGCGTCGGTACCACCGACCAACTCTTCAGCCTGGTACGAACTCATCAGTAGAACCAAAGGGTAAGCCTTATAATTCTTTGTACAAAACATTGATAATGAGTAAACCAGTTAATTCTGTAATTTATTTACAATTTATAGTTGGTATTTTCACCAATTTTATGTACCAACCAATATTGCATTTTTCGTTATAATTATTTATCTGATATAATTTAACCAGCGACCTCTCAAGTTTAATCCTAAACAGTATGTGTGAAACACTCTTCTCCTGTGGTGAACTTGAATTGCACAAAAACTGCCAGAAAATAACTTTATTTGGTATAAATAACATACAACAATTTGATACTTTATTTTTCATATATATTTTTATAAACATATATAATAAATATTAAGAACAATCATCAAAACCTCTAAAATAATTATAAATTTATATTCGAAACTTCTGATATATATAATAATATACTAAAGCGAGTGAAAATAACCGACATTCCAAAAACCTTATTTTATTCAATGTAAAAGATGTTACAATTTACTTTCTAAACCTATCTCGTATTAAACGCTAAGTTTGTTCTGTTCTCATAAGGTTTAACGGGATTTCTAAGAGACGAAATGTGGCGATTAATATTTTTAGAACACCTATTTTCAAAAATAAATCAATCAACTATTGCAATAGGCACAACAAATATATAAAATTAGGTAAAGGATAAATCACGATACATGTTACACAAGAAAGGCAATATATTATTCAGAAAGTGGATTTTAGATTATTTAACAAAGACACAGAACTATATGTAATGCCATGTATGTGAACAAATGTAATGTAATCATAGACGTACATATTAACATAGACAGAGCAGTCTGTAGAGCTAAATGACGACACCATTTTTTTTTTTCGTTGTTTATTGTGTGTTTGTCTTACATCAAGTAAGTATAACAGCGTCTATTTAGGTGGGGAGAGAATGATGAGATTCAATGCGCTAGAGAGAGACACATCGAACAACATCAAGAGATCTTGTGGTCAGTATGTTCGATCTATGTTAATATACATATACGTCTATGAATGTAATGTCAGAATAATAAACAATCAGAATTCCCACTCCACTTGTCAAGATAGGTACGCGTATCTCGTTTGCGCAGACGGAATCAGCCATGTTTTAAATGGAACCAGTGCTGTTCAGTGAAATTTTATCTGGTGTGCATAGAAAAATTAACCCGGTTTAATTTATTTACGGCAATCATAGACATAATATGCATTATTTCATTCGTACTTTTAGTTGAAGACTAGAATAAATTATTTCTTCTTCTTCTTCTTGATGTGCCTATCCGTTACGAATGTTGGAGATAATCATGGCAATCTTGAGGTTCTTTAACCAAGATGTACTTCTTCTTCTTCCTGGACCTCGCTTTCCAAATATTTTTCCTTACAGGATGGCTTGAAGGAGAACATATCTGGATTCATTTCGCATAAAATGTCCGAAGAATTGTAACCTTTGTTGGGTTTGGTTGCGGGAAATTTAACTTTCACAGAGCTTGTACATTCTCTTATGAATTATCTTTTGGAAAAATTTTAGGAGATGACTCAAATTATTTCAGATTTACTAAATTATTAATCTCTAAAAATTTAAATTACAGTTCTGTCGTAGCTTGTCTCAAATTTCTCAATTCGAGTCTATGTTTCGGTTTAAAATATGGCGATCGCTGCTAACACACTGCAAAGGCGGCATCTGAGAGCAGGCATTCTGATTGTTATTTATTCTGTGGTAATGCTTGCGGAAAAAACGGTTTAATTGAAGAGAAAATTGAAAAGAGATCAATAGTTTACCACGTTTTTACTTAGATTAGATCTATACGGAAAATGTTAAGGAAGACAAACGTTAAGTTTGCAGTATTCTTATATAAAAAGATAACGCAAAGAATCAAGAAGACAGATAGATTCTATTAAGTAGTTTACATCTATTTTATGTATAAAATTGTAAGTAAATTATAATACTATTGAAAGTTTTGCTACTGACAACACTTTAAATCCAATTTTTGACAAATCACAAGCGGTTGTACAAAATTCGATCAACATAGACAATTTCAGTCACGTGACATAAATTTTATAACCAATAACTTTGACGATATATAAGTCACGTGATTGTAGCATCGATGTATTCAATAAAGACAAGCTTACACTGTTTGCTGAATGTTCTAAAACTGTTTTGTGTGGGTTATAACAATAAGAATAAGAAAAAATTAACAAACAAAAGTACCAAGCTTCTCATTTGTCAAAAAATTAGAGATATACAAGATGATTCTATAAGTAACAACTAATTCAACTAAAATCAACAAAAATACACTTTGCAATACTGAACAGATAAATTAAAATTGTTATTCCTTAACAAAACACAACAATAAATAGAGCTATCATCTAACACATTGATCTAGTTCTTGAATCAGGAGAAAATCGTTTATTTCTAAAAACTTGTTTGTTTCTACAATTGTTTTTATTATACTCTGTCCAGCTTTTCTTCTTTTGGACGTTTTTAATATAGTTACGTTTATAGAGTATCATTAACACGACAAAATCCAACATTAATTTTTGATGAAGCTGTAATGTAAGTAACGATATTAATATTAAGATTGTGAATATTATGAAGTGAATTTTTATTCTGCTCAATATTCCGACAACCACTATATATAATGTGCCTAAAGGTTTCCGCGGTTAGTAAAATTAAACCTAGAGCTAAGATTAATACTATTACAACAACGCCCCAACAAAAACTTTCCTCTCTTGTCCGATCAATCAAAGACAACAATCCAAATGAACAACACGAAGTTTATTAAATTCCTTGTGCATATTGCCCCTGATCCTATATAGGTCAAACAAATCGTAGAATCCAAAATAGGATTTATGAACATTTCATTTCAGTTCGCAATTCCAACTCAATTTCAGCTCTAGGTCAACACCATCTTCATACAGGTCACAAAATTGATTTTAAAAACTCTAGAACCATAGCCCCCATCCGCTTCTATAAACCAAGAATTATCCGATAAGCCATAGAAATTGAAAAAAGGCCAAATTGTCTCAATAAAAGAGATGACGGTATACGGTTATCTTCGATGCGAAATGTAAACAGACCATGGACGTATAGTCCATGAAACAGACACATTAATGTCGAAGGTCAAGAGGTTGAGTTGACATCATTTTGAATCGAGCATTCGGTGAGCTCGAAGCTCCTGTTCGCGCTAGCCGCACTTTAGAAAGTTTAATCTAGTCGGCATATTAATAATCTTACTCAACTTGTGTTTCGTGAATCGGCGTCCAAAATACGTAGTTGTACTTGTTTTTAAATAGATTTGTTAAAACGTTCTTTGCAAAATTTTCATTTGTCCCAAAATTTCTGGGTGGTGGTCCTTCAAAAAAGTACAGAAAAGTGAACCTATTTCCCTAAGGACAAAACTCGTTCCCCAAGGTAAAAACCAGCGACCTATGACTGGTGCGCGAAACAAAGGCATCAGGACGAGGTGTAAGTACAAACACACCTGCATCTTCGCACAAATATAACACCGATATTCTGATGAAGCAAGAAATAGATCTTACTAGACACTTAAAATATTTAAAAACAAACAACAACTTATTCTGAACTGTTTTGGTTAATAAGTACAGGACATCTATTGACGAATGACACTTTCAACTTACCAGGTGGCTGTTCCCAAGGCTCGCCGTCCACTTGCATCGGGGCCTTCTGCTTCAAATGAATCTAATACAAAAGTACATGTGATAGATATAAAAAAGTTAGGTGGACTAAAATTTGTAACCTAATTAATTAAAATTAGGTTAAAAATTAGTTAAACTATCTTTTCACCAGCACAATAGGCAAGAAACATTGAGCCTAAAGTTTTGTAAAGTTTTGAAATAAAAATAATAAAAAAAGGCGCAAAAAATACAGAATAATAGAATCAAGTGTATGGAGACAGTGATATCCTCCTCCTCCTAAGTGCCTTCTCTGTTGAGGTTGGCGATCAATAACCCAAATTTCTCTCTATTCTGGGCTTGAAGAATTAATTCATTTCCACTTGTATAGGTCCAATCTCTGATGTTTCGTAGCCAAGATTTTTTCTTTTGTCCTATGCCCCTTTTACCTTCAATCTTGCCTTCTAATATTACCTGGAGCTGCTCAAATTCCCTATGGTGCATTATGTGTCCTAGATATGACGTCTTTCTAATTTTGATAGTATTGACCAGATGAGGGCGTGTGTTCATTACTCTCAGTACTTCTTCATTAGTAGTTCTGCTGGTCTAGCTTATTCTTAACATTCGGCGGTACATCTACATTTTAAATGAATTTAATTTGTTGACCTCATACTGGTTTAATGTCCGGCTCTGACAGCCATATAGTAATAGAGACCACACATAACACTTTAGTGTTCTCAGTCTTATTGAGACTGATAGCTTGGGGTTACAGAACATTTTACGAATATTCATGAAACCAGATATTGCTATTTCAATGCGGCTTCTAATTTCTTTTGAGTGGTCTAGTTGACTATATAGCTCTCTGCCCAGATATATGAAGCTTTGGGAACTCTGAAGGGTAATACCATTTATTTGTATGTTAATTATAACTTGTTTAGGTGGTTTTTGTGGAATACCAGAATTTTGGTTTTGGAAAAGTGAATGTCCAAGCCCAGCCTGTGACTTTCTTCTGATAACATGTTCAACAATATTTTTAGTTGGTCTTTTGTTTCTGCTAATACTACGGTGTCATCGGCATATCTTATATTGTTAATGATGATTCCATTGACTCTGGCACCTTCAGGGCGATCTTCAAGAGAAGCTCTAATTATATGTCCGGCATATACATGCATGGACAACATATACTCCTCCTCGCACAACAGAATAAAAAAGAAAACAAAAAATTATCGAATATAAGATAACAAAAACATCATGGAAGTAAATAATGAAGGAATAAAAATAGGATAGGATAAAAAATAAGCAAAAAGAATAACAATCAAGATTAATGATTGAAAATACATACGACAATACGAATACTTACATCTACCACTTTAGCTTGACCTAATTTTAAAGGCGTTGAAATACCAACTTGTAGCTGTGCCATATGGAATGAAGAATAAATACCCACTACTTCCAAAATTCCATCGTGGTAAGACTGTGAAGTGGTTCCAGAGCTGTCGCTGACCATACCTTATTAAAATATAAATGAGTAGATACAAAACCCAAGCATTGATTATAAACCACCACCTAGATACCTCACTCTAAGGTAAAAACGAATTCAGTGTTAAACTCCGCAAACTTACACCTCTACTTAGGCCCCTCACGCCTAAGTACTACCTGATGTATGGAGGCGACATTAATTGAAATATTTGTCAAGATTGAAAAATAAATTTAAGTTGCCTGGTCCGGCCATTGTCTAGTGCAATAGACGACAATATAAGAATGGCATTCAGCATTTTCACAAATAATTTTAACGTGCTTATAATCTATATTATGAAATTCCGATTTTACTTCAGAAAAAACGCTAAAAATTGATTAATGAAAACAGTAAAGGTTTTCTAAAAATTATTTATTTATCAATACAATACAAAAAAATAACAAAACATAAAATACATAATAAAATTAGCAGTGATAAATTACATCTCACGTAAATTACTTTTTTGTAACTTTTCAAACAAATTAATTTCCAGAATTGATGCAAACTAAAATATTTTAAGCTAATATACAGAATTTATTTCCAGATTTAGTCCATTCACTCACGGTAAAATATTGCAAAACCTCCTAATTTTAAAGAATCGCTTGGATTGACATGAAATTTGGCTTACGCCTAGCTAAGATGCCAAAGAAAAAAGATTATGCTTTTGCCCTATGGTTCAGTATCACCCTTATCGGGAGTGAAAAAATATATGTTCAAGACAAGTTCGGAAGTATCTAAAATCAGTAATTCTAAGCAACTTTTGTTCTATAGAGTTTTTTCACTAAGTTAATACTTTTCGAGTTATTCAAAAATAGGTTCTTATTCGTCAAATTCCATGTTGAATATTTTAACGTAAAATAATAAAAAAATGAAGCACTTTTCGACGAAATCTCATTACAACTTCTTTTAAAGTGTTTAAAAAATGTTTATTTTTGTTAAGTTTCTAGCATCAAAAGAAAGCAGCTATGACCAAAATATTCAGAAAAGCAAAACCTACATTTTTTTACTCTTTGTGATTTTTGGTGTCACTAATAAATTTTAAGTTATTTAAAAAAAAGCATTTTTTCAATATTAAAAAAATTGATGAAAAATAAGCCCTTTAAACAAATGAAACTTATAGATCATTATAATAATACAATAAAAAGACAAAAATTGACCAAGGTATTTATTAGAGAAATCAGGACACGCATTGAAATTGCAAGACAAGCATTTATAAAAATGAAAAAAATGTTTGTTAATCGAGATCTAAACTAGTTTTGATGGAAAATAAGCCACAATTTTACTAAAAAAAATGATTATATTAACATTTTGACGCATAAAATGGGGGGCCGTTGTCAAAATAAAAAATCATTAATGAATTAAACAAAAATGTTAATAGTAAAAAAATCTTCTAATAATTTATTTAATCCGACTCATTTATATTGGCAATTCAGACATATATTATAAGTAGCAGGAGAGAGAATTATTCTCTCTCCTGTTACCGCCAAACAATGTAGTGTAGAACTATTTTAATTAATTTAAAACTGTTTGTCCTTGTTGTTGTAGTGTTTATACAATTTTATGTTAACATCCATATTTATCACATTCTACGCTTGCTGGGTAGCCCATATTTGACGAAATGCCCCTGAAGATGCTATATTAAGCGAAAGTACTTGGGCAAGATTTGATTAAACTTGTGCTCGATATAATTGATTTAATTTTCAAAGTTCATTTATTCGAGCATTCAACCTCATATCAAATAATTTTGACTTTGACAAAATACCACAAATTACCAACGTTAAAAATGAATAATGTAAGTAAATATCTTGGTAAAATGACAGGAAATTTCCAATATATAAATAGTTGACGACCATCTGCCTAGGAACAATAGGTAAAAGCTGATAAACAGACAGAATTAGAAAGTTTAAAATATCACTAATTAGATTATATTTCAAAACAAAGTAAATAAGTATATTTGAATGTTAATTCTTTTGAAACTAAGATTGTAAAAGTAAAATTTTAGGAAAAAAAATTGATTATTTCTTGTTCTCAAGAAGTATTTTCATTATTGACAATATCGAAACATTGTATTATTAAAAGTCGAGAAGAATTAAAAACCACGTTCATATTTATATAAAAGTGCTATAAAAATGAAGGTATATTACTCTTGAAAAGAATTAATATTTTTTAACAAACAAAAGATATAGGTAGAAAAAAAAGAGGTTTAATAAGTGCTGCCAAAAAAAAGAACGGTAGACCCTATAAAGTGAATGAAATTGACACTGAAGATTTTTTTTACTTTAAGGATCTGTCAAAAATTAATGAAACGAAACGGTAGTATGGAATAATATACAAATTCTTAAGTAGAAAAATGTTTTTCTACAAAAGTTTTTTACAAAACTAACTTTGACGATACAACCTATAAAACTATTGATCATTCTACTCGTCGTTTTTCTGATAATAATAATGTTTTAGAGCAATATAACTTAAAACCAGCCTACGAAAAGCCTCCTACTGTAAAAGAGAAAACAAAAGAGCATTTACTGGAATTATGCAAAAAAAATCTTATTGCAACAGTACACCAATCATTTTGTTTCAATTTGTCGAGTTAATTTCTTGTAAGTGATTTATAATATACAATTATAATTATTAAATTTATCTAATAAGTACCTACCATTTATAACTTTGTCTGGTTTTTCATTATTAATGTGTATAATCGTAGCAGTTATGGATATTGAGTAATTTAAAAATGTAATGTAATACCGTTATATCTTACAAATATTTATAAAGGTTAAATATTTCTTGTTTTTGAAAAAACATATCCATTCGTATGCTATTGAATTACTAATATTCTAAAATTCAGTTACTTCTCTAAAAATATCTATTCTGTAGAGGAAAAAACTCGTCATTCATATTTTCATTTGCCTCTCCTGTTAAATTTATAAATTTGCAGTTGTAGCGGTATTGAATTGGATGTGCGACTTATCACAGATAATACACCTATAGGGTAAGTTCGGGCCTGACACTACTCCTACCTCCTCGCAAGTCAGAGACAGAATGAGAAATCTCGATACGGTTTTCAAGTAACGCCATCTAGTTGTTGATACGTCTTTCGGTTACCACGAGGTGAGCTATCTAGGTGGTGGTTTATAATCAATGACCCAAGGATAACTTACTTAATGTAATTATATAGGCAACCAGTAATCCAGTTATTTCAAGATAAATTTTTGTTGCATTTAAAAAGTTTTCGGAGGAGTTTTCGACTCCTAATACAGGCAGCCAAAAGTACACCAAAAATACAAATATGACTCACTCCAAAGGTTGACTCCTGCTCCCCACGAAGAAATGTTTAAAATAACTATGGACTCCAACTCCGGTAGGTCGATATGTTTACCATCTAAATACAGATCCAGTCTTTTTTCGAGATTTTTGCAGTCTGCTGTAACCACTTGTTGAGTTCCAAAAGTTAAATACAACATCTAAAAAACAAATCAAGTCAAGTATAGAAAATGCATAGAGCTGTTTTTCTTTGGAAATTGTAGGTTTCATTTCTAAATGACAAATTGTACAAACCTTACCTTGTTAAATAACCTGCTCCCATATATGTAAAAAATACTATCCCTAGTTTTATGAAAATTCAGTGCAACCTGTGCATCCACACCAATACTTGCGTAGTTGTACATAAAGTAGGTTTTATTAGGTAGTTTTAAGCCTAGATGCCTATTCGATATAACTTCTACTTTCCATCTAAAATTTAACAAGAATATAAATAAAAATTTATATTAAAATCCAAAAATTGCATTTAAATCATCATAAACATCTAAAAGGCTTGTGACACAGTATTTTTAAAGAAAATAAGTGAGGTAATGATCGTTTCATCATAAACCCGTTGCCGTCATCCAATATTGAAGCTGAAATTTTCATACAGTATTGTCAGAACAGTAGAAAATGAAGGAAATTGGGAAATAACGAATATGTAATGAATGACTGAATCATTGTACAAATGATTCGAACGAAAATAGCCCCAAAAACTGAAACAAACGTCAAAGTAGTGACATTAAAATAAATATGTTAAATAAAATAGTAAAAAACTGTAAATATTTGGTTAAATGCAGGTAAATTGAATCAAGTTGTCGTCAGAGAGTGTGGTAAATAATATTGGAGTATCCCAGTGTTCAATACTGGGGCCTAATTTATTTTTTGGGCCCAATTTATATAAAACGATCTTCCAAATATGGAACATAAGGCTAAATATACACTCTTTGCAGCTGAAATCATGGTGCCTTTTTTAACTGATAATATTGAAAATGTGCTGGATGGTTCTATGGTGGCAACGCAGATGACTAAGCAATGGTTTGCTGCAAATAGGTTGGTTCTGAACAACAATAAAACTAAACGAAGTGATTTCACAACGAGAGATTTGGGTGATATGAATGCTGGAATCGGCGAGATTGGATTTTTAGGAGTTCTCTTGCACCCAAAATTACACTGGGGCGCACATATTAATAACTTATGCAAAATACTAAATAAAAGTCTCTATATTTTGAGAAATCTTAACTAGACGTACTACGTATCACTCCATATTCCACTCACATCTTTCATACTCTATCCTTGTTTGGGGTCATGCAGCTGCATAACCTGATCTGCAAAGAAAGGCAGTGACGGTCCTCGCTGGCTTGAGATTTAGGAAATCCTGCCATCAGGCTTAGCACAGTACATTCTAAAAAACCTTCGATTCATGAAGAGGAATACCAATCTTTATAGAAGTCACGAAGATACTAGGTACAAACAAAATTTGATGCCAGCAAATTAGCGTTTGTAAAGGTGACTAAATGGATCAGTGTATTGGACAATAATTTTTTTTTTTGTTTTTTTTTTTAAATTTGAAGCTGAAATATTACTGCTCAAGACTTAATTAAAATGAAGAAAGATGCCTTGATTAAAACAAGTTCAAAACCTATAAAAAAAAAAAAAACAAAAACGTAAGAGAAAGCCAAGCAAATCGTCACTATCTGAAGATGTTACTCTAAACGACACTAGTGGTTATGAAAACATAGTGATATTGAAAATGAGTGTATTGGGTGCAACGAGGACTATCGCCAAACATGTAAAAAAGATGACTGGTTACAATGCATTTTTTGTAAGCGCTGGTTACATGAAACTTGTACTGGCTTCGCTAATCTCTGTAACAAGTGCGGAAAATCTCTTGATATTAAAAAGAAAAAGGTTTAGCTTGGTCCATCTCTTCTACTCCCAGTTGATGAGAGATGAACCGACAACGTGCCAGTGCATTATATTTTTTTTAGGTTTAGGAATTATAATTTCTAGTATTTACTTATACCAAAACAAATACCAATGTTAAGTTATGTTATACAACTTTTTCTCTATTCTGATGTTTATTTATTAAAAAAAGGCTTCAGTTTTCTAAAAGGTGGTCCATCTCTCCTCCCTTTACCCTAATAATAGTTTCCCTTTGTACCACTAGTGAAGTTTGGGAGTATAGCAGAGTAGTCTGCTATTTCTTGAGCCTACGGTATTCAAGGATGGTAACAGGGCCAATACTAGGCTTTAACTTATTATCTTGGTTATTATTATCCCTGGTTTTACTCAAGGTACTCATTTTATTTAGACTGGACTGAGGTCAGTCGATATTTTAAAAATTTCCAGATTTTTTCGGTGATGTTGAGGATGGATTTGCTGCTTTCTGCGTGATAGTCTTTGGTAAGACACTTTACCGCATAAGAAACAAAAATTTGACTTACCTGTCAAGTTCTGAGAGTTTGGCATCGATGATATTTTTTAAAACGTCTTCAACATCTAGCTCTGATGAGTTCTGATGTCCCCAATTTAAAACCCTAGACAAATCATTGCCAGTTCCCAACGGGATTATAGACAATAAAGGCTCAGGCTAAAAAAATCGAGTTTTTGAATAAAAATAACTTTACAACTCTCTTCACACGATGTAGGTTAATTCATGTGTAGTAGGGAGTACGGACTCTCTCTTAATGTCAAAAAGACGAAGTTTATGAAAATTTGTAAAAACAACTATAATACTAACGAAATCTTGATAGTAGAGGGCCAGCAGATCGAAAGAGTAAAAAAGTACACTTACCTAGGAACACTTATAACAGAAAATAATGACTACACGGCAGAAATCAAAGTCAGAATCGAAAAAGCACGTTCTAATTTTATAAAAATGAAAAAGGTCCTATGTGGCAAAGATCTAACATTAGCTCTTAAAGTACGCCTAACAAAATGTTACGTATACAGTGTACTATATCATGGAGTGGAATCATGGACGTTAAATCTAGATACCATGAGACGACTTAACGCCTTTGAAATGTGGACCTATAGAAGAATTATGAGGGTTTCCTGGGTAGATAGAGTTACAAACAATGAAATACTGAGAAGAATAGGCAAAGAGAAGGAAATTGAACTTACAATTAAAGAAAGAAAGCTACAGTATCTCGGACATGTGATGCGGGGCGATAAGTATGGCATCCTGCGACTCATAATGCAAGGAAAAATAGATGGCAGAAGAAGCATCGGAAGAAGACGAATTTCATGGCTGAAGAACCTGAGAGAATGGTTTGGATGCAGCTCAAAACAACTATTTAGAGCTACTGCCTCAAAAATTAAGATAGCTATGATGATTGCCAACCTCCGTAGCGGAGATGGCACCTGAAGAAGAAGTAGAATGTTAATTCATATTTTGAAAACGATTTCTGAGATGGATATCGAAACAACAAAATAAAGGTGGACATTTTTAATTTGCAAATTGTTCACAAAATTCAAAATAAACAAAATCTTAAGAATATTTAATAGTTCATGGAAAAAAACATGACTTTATGGTATAAAACGTTACATTTTTTCCTAATTTTTTATTATAAACATAACATTTGGCGTGGGACGTGACATTTTACGTAACTTTTTTACGTTTCGGAAATGTTCTGATATAGGTAAATTTGTGTCTGCTGTTTTCGACATAAAACTGAAATTTGACGTGGGAAAAGCCGTATTGAATAAGTGAGAGTGGCATTTTACATAACTTTTTGACATTTTACGTGACTTTGACATTTTTGTAAACGAACTAGATTAAAACTAAAAGAACGCAACATCAGTGATCAAAGTCTGTGACGTGCGAAAAATGCATTCACGTCGTATGCGATATTTTGATTATAAAATAAAATATAATAAATATAAAAGTTGATTATAAAATTATAAAATAAAGGAAAACAATTAAGTATGTTGGACATTTTAAAGATTTTTAAATGTTGCGTTTTTTAGCTTTAATGTAGTTCGTAGACAACTCACCATGCACCGCCACTCATCCTTAAAAGGGCGAATTGACTAAATGCGTGATATTTTGAGAGAAAACGTGACATTTGAAGTGAGAGTGACATTTTACATAACCTTTTGCTATCTTTTTGACGATTTACGTGAACTTTTGACATAAAACGTGACATTTAACATAAAATGTAACGTAATAGTGACTATAAATTAGAATATACATACATACTTACATCAAGATCGAGTTTATGGGAAGTACTCAGCATCCACGAGACAGTACCATCCCCACCAGCAACCAAAATATTGACTGTCTTTGGAGATAAAAGAACACACCACTGCAAAGCTGCTGGTGGTTTTCTTTCGCTCAGATCTATAACCTGCACAGGATTGAGGTACTTTCGAAATTCTGATAATACTAAAGCCCCATCTCCATTTCCAGACTTTTTATTGGCTAAAAGAAATAATTTCCAAAATATTAACGAACTATAAGATTTCGTATTTGTATAGGTAAAATATGTTCACTTTTTGTTTGTATAAAACAGTTTCACATAATTTTTGTTTAGATGTTTTAGAGACAAAAAATTCTTTATCATCAACTGCTTCGAATTTACTCTTTTAATAGGATGAATAGTATTAGTCTTGGCTCTATCTCTTAATAAAAAATTGATTTTATACATATAGTAATGTAATCTACTATTTTTTAGGACTATTATATAGGTAAAAAGAAGATTGAAGTTAGAATAATAACGAAAAAAAGTGCAATATTTGATTGTGAATAAATTAGCAATTATTTGAAAAATCACAAAAATACCTGGCGTAACTCATTAATGTTATCTGTACAAAAAACAGCACTTACTCTGTAGCTCTGCGTGAGAGTAATAAGAAATAGTCGAATTAAAAGCGGATTCAGGAACCGATATCATATGTTGAAAAGTAATAAAATCTTCATGAATATAACATATCTCTCTTTGAGATGTCGGTCAGATAGCCAAGCGGGCTGGGCGGCTGGTTACTCATTCGCTTCACTGCGAGAGATGTAAGTTCGATCCCCAGCTCGGTGTACAGAAAACAAAAAGGGTAACGCAGCAGTTTAAAATTCTAAATGGATATGCGGCTTAGTCTAGAATATGCTGGTATCTGATCGGCCTATGGTGAGCAGTACGGCAAGAGTTAAGGGCGGTTCGGTGATACTCCTCCATAGATCCCTACCGGAAGGGCGTGTGCCGCCTATATACCGGGTAGATATATATATATATATATATATATATATATATATATATATATATATATATATATATATATATATATTTATATATATATATATATATATATATATATGTATATTTATATATATTTGGGTGTTCACTTTTGAAAAATTAACAACTTTAAAGTATCCTTTTTGAGCTTGGTCGTGGTGGAACAAAACTAACATTTAGACTTGTTGAAGATTATCGCATTAGAAATATCCCTCACGACCTTGGTCGCGGCGGGACAAAACTAACAGGTTTAGATATGATGAAAATTACTGAATTAGAAATATCCTTTACTAGCTTAGTCGTGGCGGAACAAAACTAACAGATACTGTTTCTGACTTCCCAAAACCTTTGTAGAAAAGATCTATGTTTGTATCCATAGAAGTAACGAAAGATGTGAAATAAAATTTGGAATGGGTCATAGAGATTCGCCCTTATAGAATATGATGGAAAATGAATTCTACAGTAACCAGGGACATGATTGGTAAAATGTATGATACGGTAGTTCCAGATCATGAATATCAGTGAAATCACTTAATTGCTTACATTAATTGCATGAAACGAGAAAATTGGACTGTCAAGATCACAAGGTTTAATAAGACAGAAAGTGATACCCTGAGTGGTCATGTCGACATTCTATTCAGACCTTCCTCAGGGATTGATATCTTATTACGAGAAAACCCTATTATTATGTAAATCAAAATAAAATAATGCAAAATATATTGACGAAGGACCTTTTTTCAAATAATAAATTAAGATAGAAGAAAACTTATTAAATGAAATAAAATAAAATTAAATGAAGCAAAGTTATAATTATTTATTACTATCTTGGTATTGGTAGTCCAATCTATCTTGGTCCAAATGGACAAATGATTTACGTAAAACTTATTGAGGTCACTGGTTTAATAATCAGAATGATAAGGAAAAAAATGCTATAATTAATTGTTAATAAATTTGCAATTAATTGAAAAATTACAAAAATACCTGGAGTAACTCATTAATGTTTTATGTACAAAGAAAAACAGTTACAGTTTGATTATGGTGTATTAATTGTAGCTAGGGTAGAAAAGTAGCATCTGCATGTAGGACTTGAGGGACATACACATCCTTGCCAAACTGGAGATGTTTACATGGCGATGTCTTGTCTGTGTTCTGATCTGTGTTCCCTTTGTATGGACACAAACACTCTGACCACCATTCTTAGGTGGTCCGTAGGTTAATACGGCAAGTGCACCCCCATAAATCAACGCTATTATATTGCCCTTTTGAAAGGTGATCATATAAATAAATGGTTTACAGAAATTTGATATTTTACAAGGTTTTCTGTGCTTTCGAGGTAATTAACAACAATAACTAACAAGTAATTAGAATATATAGTTAAATAATATCATATCATAATGCAGTAATACAAATATTAAAGCAAAATATGCAATAAATACTAAATACTTTCCCAAACAATGCCTTTAGATATATATTTTTTAGATTATATTGTTTCCTTCGCTATGGATGTAATCCCTACCTTCTAGTTCTTACTTTATAACAAATATAGACAACTCACCAACTACAACTAAGGGTGTCCACTTCTCCCAACAAGGATCCCGAACACCTCTCAACAGTAAATGTTTGTTTAAAGCTCCTTTACGTTTAGCAGTCTGAACACACCAAGGAGGAACTATCATTCTTCTAAAAGGTCCAAAATCACAGACCTATAACAGATACACAATTATTTCCTCATGATATTGAATATTAACATTAATATTACTTTTTCTACTTTTAGCAAACATTCAGTATGAACTGTCATTTGACACCAGCAGCATCTATAATCCACTAGACCAGGTTCTCTTGAACATTCCTCTAAGCAATGTTTACAACTAGCTCCAAAGGGTAAATTACCTAAAAAAAAGATGAGTGGCTAATGAAAGGGAAATAAAGATAAATAATTACAATAATAAATTATAATGGAAAAATGTTTATAATGATTCCTATATTTCTGAAAGTATAAGGAGAGCAGTGGGAAAGGTGAAATGGTGTAAAATGAAAGGAAAAGAGAAAATAAAATTAATATAAAACTATTCTCTTATGCATCTTTTTGTTTTGTAGGTTATTATTTTCCAGATTCCATTATTGTGTGTGATAATGTTCCTTTTTTGGCTACCTGTATCTGTAGTTTTGTTTTTTCTTTATAACTCTGTAGATCTTTAATATTTCTAATATTTCCACATTTTTATTGACTAGTTTTTGCTTCTTTTATCAACAGTTTAGTTTAAATGTGGTTATATATCTCTTGTGCCTTCAAATTGGCATTTGATATTATTATGATTTTTTATATTATAGGCTTTTTTATAGTGCCTTTCTAAACATCTTTCTTTGTAACTACTTGTTACCATAGTTGTGAATATGATCTCTAATCCTTCTTCTTCAGCCTTAAGTAATCCAACTTTGAACATAGGCCTCCTCCAAATCAATCCAGGGTGTTTTCTATTTTACGCCAGTTACTTCCTCCTATCTAATGTCATCATGCCTCTGCTTCTCTTTCCTAACCACAGTCTCCATTATTGTATTTCGTGGTTCCATCTTTTATCTTTCAGTTGGGCACTGTGTCCTGTGAAGCTCCATTTTAATTTGGCAGCATGTTCTCCTGCATCTTTTACTTTGGTTTTGCATCTAATCCATTTGTTTGTTTTTTTGTCTATAAGTCTCAGACATATGTCATAAATCAAACACTTATTAGGAATCATTTGTTTGTTTTTTTTTGTCTACAAGTCTCACCCAAGCATTGATCAATGGAAAGATCAATGCTTGGGGTGACACTTATATGCAAAAAAACAAACAAATGATTTCTAATAAGTGTCTGATTTTTGTTTTATTTGAAACTTACTGAAATAATAACTTGATAACTCCTATAGGTGTCTCTCATCTTTTAAACAAAAAAAACTAATATACATACCTTTAACCCAATGATGTAATTGATTCTGGTCACTGCTGGTAATAATCTTACACCTTAATGCAAAATTCGCTTTCTTCACACAATCTGGATCTGCACACACTCCACAACAGTCACAATAAACACCAATTCCATTAAGCAACAGTGATTCACATACAGAACAGTACCAAGTCTACAAAATATATTTTATATATAAAAAAGATGAAGATAAAATATTTACTTTAGAGTTTAACCATCACTCAAAAAATTTCAAGCTTTAAACATTAAAAAAGAAACCTGCCATACAGAACTACAAGGCCTTACATTATATTAAATGTAGTATGTAATTGTGAAATCATTTTAATACCAATATCATAAAAATAGCAAGACACAGATAGGTCTATTCAAAAAATTAGTTTTAAAATGTTGAATACATAAAATACCTTAGCAGTTATCTGAACAGTCGTCCAGCTATGTCCCTTCACAGCTCCTCTTACAGTTATGTTCCCATCACCACTTAGTTTTTTAAAAATATAAAAACTTAAAATGCACAGTACAAAAGCACTGAAGAACCCAGGGAAACCGTAGGGAGGAAAAAGATCTCCAATTATCCACATATTATTTTTTCTTTCTACATATATTTTACTAAAGACACCCATATTTTAGAAAGTGATTCTAGGAGGGTTCGAGGGCTTTGTACACTTTTAAAAGTCATACTAAATTCTTTAAAAATATCTATAAAATACGTTCACTAAAAATGTACTTTTCAAAAGTTTACTTTGGTTTCTTTTGAAAATAAACAAAATAAATGTCATCTGGTGCATTTCTAGATAACGTCAACAAATTGATCATGATAAATCTTGACCTATTTTTTATCTTTTGAATAGAAAAGGACAATGACAACCAGAGTCACACGAAAAAAGTCTAGAGATATATTAAGATGAAATGTTATGTGTAAAAAAAAGCATTGAAATACAAAAACAAAAGATTTATTCTTTTTATAATGAAAAATGTCAACTATACTGAAATGTTATCCATTAATCCAATGAGATGAAGGCCAAAAGAAGTAAACATGAATCTAAAAAAGAAGAAGCATTTAACCCTATTTTAATTCCTAGAGAGCACCTTTTATTCTTTAAATGTTAAATATATGAAAAAAATTAAATTGATATAGTTGAAAATAAAATCTTCCGAAAAATAATTAATTATGACGACCAAAGTAAAACTAAAAGAAGCGTAAGTAGTTTAAACGTTTTCCCTTATATTATTGTTATTTTAAAACCTTTTTGTATTTTAGATTTGAAGTTGAATCAAAGCATGGTGCATTTTATACAGGAGGTAACTTAGAATGGGTAGAAGATACTATATATTGCCAAACTAATGCAAATATTAATGTACTAAATGTAGAAACAGGTCTAATTGATAAAGTAATAGGTGAACAAGGTGCTGAAGAAGAAGATACTATACAAACATTTACCACAGATGGCAATAGAACTGTTACTTCACACAAAAGTGGTTTGTTGAAGGCTTGGAATCAAAACGGTGAGCTGGAAAAAATGTGGAAATATATACATAAAGGACCTATAGCTAGACTAACCTTAAAATCTGACAAATTGGCCAGTGGTGGTTGTGATGGGATTGTTCGGATATGGGATCTTCAAAACCAAGTATGTTCTTTGAGCCTTAAAGGGTGCCAGGGGGTTGTAAATGTGGTAGAATTCCATCCAGGTGAAGACATTTTATTTGCTTCTGGTGATGATGGAAAGATTAATGCTTATGAATTAACCAAAGGAGAACTAAAAACAATATACTCAGGGCATTATAGTAAAGTTACTGCATTTGTCTTTGCTAGGGAGAACTATTTTGTATCATGTGGTAGAGATAAAGTAATAATTTTATGGGAGGTAGGTAAAAGTGAGGGTATCAAAGTAATCCCACAATATGAAGCTATAGAAACTATAACAGGGTTGCCTTTGAAGTTTAAGATTCCTGGTTTTAAATCAGAAGCTGATGGTATTTATGTTGCAGCAGCAGGTGAAAAGGGTGTAGTTTCTGTGTGGGATGTTAAAAAGGCTAAACAAGTCTATGTCCAAGACAATTCTCTAGTTAGCAAAGCTGCTGAAGAAGGTGGTTTATCTGTAGTATTGCTTAGATGCAATCTTAAAGACAAAGCCTTAGCTGTTGTAACAACTGATCATAATATTATCATTCATCATTTGAAGTCATTTGTATGTCTGAAGCAATTTGTAGGCTTTTCTGATGACATTTTGGATATTACATTTATAGGGAAAGAAGATTCACATTTGGCTATTGCCACTAATTCCACAGATATAAAACTTTACTGTAATACTACCATGAATTGTCAAATATTGAAGGGTCACACAGATATAGTTATGTCATTAGCTAGTTGTCCTTCAGATCCAACATATATGCTTTCCTCAGGTAAAGATAATACTGTAAGGTTGTGGAAACTAGATGAAAATATCATGAACTGTATAGCTACAGGTTTAAGACATACAGGTTCTGTAAGTTCTGTAGCTTTCAGTCAAACCAGTTACAACTTTGGAGTCTCAGTTAGTCAAGATATGTGCTTAAAACTGTGGGAAATACCAACAAAATCAAAAATTGCAAGCTTAAATTGCACACATACTGTCTTGGCTCATCAAAAGGACATTAATTCTGTTGCAGTATCTCCAAATGACAAAATTATAGCCACTGCTTCCCAAGATAAAACTGCCAAACTGTGGACCACAACTTTAGAATTATTAGGTACTTTAAGAGGGCATAAAAAGAGCCTTTGGTGTATAAAGTTTTCCCCTGTAGACCAAGTAGTTGTTACATCATCTTCTGATTCTACTATCAAACTGTGGTCAATAGCTGACTTAAGTTGTCTAAAGACACTAGAAGGACATGATGCTAGTGTGTTGAAGGTCCATTTTCTTTCTTCTGGAATGCAGATATTGAGTGCTGGTGGAGATGGGTTGGTCAAGTTATTTTCAGTTAAAACTTCAGAGTGTACATGTACACTAGACCAACATGATGCACAAGTATGGGCAGTAGCTGTGAAAAATGACGAGTCTGGTTTAGTAACTGGTGGTGGTGATTCAATTTTAGTCAAATGGAAGGATGTCACAGAAGAACTTCGTCTTAAGAAACTACAAGAAATAGAAGAATTAACTCTACAAGAACAAAAATTAAGCAACTATTTGATGAGTGGAAACTATCTAAAGGCTCTAAAACAAGCTTTGAAATTAGACAAACCTTTTCAGGTGTTAAAAATTGTGGAAACTATAATACAAAATGGCGAAACTGGACTAGCAGATACTATAAAAGAATTAAGAAATGATCAAAAGGACAATTTATTTAAAACTGCTATTACATGGAACATGAATAGTAAACATGCACATCCAGCACAACTTGTTATTAATATTTTGTTAAATGAAATGCAGAATGATACTTTCAAGCCCTCAGGACTTCGTTCTTCACTTGAAGCAGCACTTCCTTATACAGAGCGGCACTTTAATAGGTTAACAAAGCTAATGCAAGACTTACAATTCATTAATTATGTTATTAAATGTATGAAACCACATTCAGATGATGTAGTGTAGTTTTATTGTAGAAATAAATGTTTTTTTTATAAACTATGTTATTTTATTTAAAATCAGAATAGAGAATCCTGTTTATCTACAGAAATATAGCAGATATGCAGTATTAATAGGACCACAAAGCTACTCACCAGCAAGTTATCCTGTGAAGTCAACCACATAAAACCATAAGTATCATTTAAGATATCAAAGTAAAAATTTTTTAAATGAATATTTACCTCCGTACCTAAATTAAATAAAATATCTAAAATTTAAAACATTACAAACTATAGAAAACTGTCCGTTATATACCACCTGCCATAAATATTCAAATATGAAATGTCGAAACAAATGCGTTCAGAAGGTTTTTATTTGCTGGTTATGGGCCTTTGCGGTGGAAGTCGGCTGCCGAGAGCTGGTGAACATACCTAACGATTTTATATTTTTGTATTCATTTTAAATATGGAAGCTAATACCGAGCTAATTTTGGAGAAACCAAAGCTGGATAATCCAGCACATAACGATTATAGAGATGTAAATAAGAGGGACGAGAAAGTAGCATCACCTACTAGATACTTACTTATTCAATATATTGGTGTCCTTTTTCAACTCTCCTCACATACTTAATATTCATAAGTTTCATTATTTTGCAGTTACCTAGCATTAATTTTAAAATGTTCTACAATTCTTGGTCTTTTCATATAAATGTGTCTTCATATATGCTCCATTTACATAAAAATTTATAAGAGTGCATAACAGACTAGCTCAATCACTGTGTTAGTCCGACAGTTGCATAAAACAGGCTGCAATTTAAGAGCCCTGTGGCCACTTGACTATATATTGACCTTTAGTTCGAAAGTCTTTATGTAAGTTTCCCGTGCACAATGTAAGATTTCATAAATCTTCGTCTAGGATACAGATATTCTCCTAGTGGTATAGAAATGTGTAAATTTCCACCACTACTGAATATTCCTATACCCTACGCAGTTTTATACCTGTCTGTGTACCCTGCAGCCTAGATTGTGTGCTTTCTCTACCTTATTCCTCTCGTGGACATATAATCTAATGGGGAAGGTACTTTAGACCTGCATGTGGGTAGTATATTATCAGAAGTCATCGTCTATTTGGTGTCCCTGATTTCATCTATGATACCTTTGTCCTGATCTAACCAGTAGTGGGGAAATGATATCAAACATTAAAGGTTGGAGTATCATATTCTTATTTAAGGAAGAAACCGGGATCGTGGACTTTTATTTTTCCTGATGTGAAAGATGAAGCTTCAGTCAATTTTTCAGACGTTTGTCTAAAATTACCGATGCCTAATGTTACTGCAGGGACGAATCAAACAGCTATCGACTATATATAATCGACTACGTTTAAGACTTACACAAAATATCCTTTTTTTGTTAGAATTTCTCTATTTTAGAGATGTTTTTTTAAAAATAGGTTAGTTACTACAGCATTCTACGAAAAATTACATTTTATACTCATTAAATTCCGGAAAAATTAGTAGTAGAAAAAACCTGTATCAATGGGCTCCCAATCTCCCACAAGTTGCTTAGGTTTTGTCGCAGTCTATAATATCTCATTGTTGCTTTCTCCTGATAACTAGGTGTAAAGGGGAGAGCGAAAAAAGTGAAGGCAGGCGAAAGAAAACTGGATGTCAACAAAATGCCTAGAAATCGAACAACTTCAGGAAAAATACGACACCTTTTAAGATTCATAAAAAAGTAAAAGAAATGACAGGTAGACACAAAAAGAGACAAGCAACAATATTAAAAATTGATAATAACGAAATAGTTATGGACACACAAGACAAGTTAGAGAGATGGAAAGAATACATACGAACTCTTTTTGACGACGATAGACCTTGTTCTCCACCATCCACAGATAATCGAATAAATGAAAAAGGCCCAGAAATAACCAAAGAAGAAGTGATTAACGAAGTAAAATCTCAGAAAGATGGAAAAGCCACTGGTCCAGACAATATCAATGTCGAAATACTAAAACTAATTGCAGATAACGAAAGTAAAAGCCTAGGCTTAATAACAGCACTATTCAATAAGATATATGACACAGGTAAAATACCAACAGACTGGCTAAAATCAAAATTCGTAGCATTACCAAAAAAATCGAATTCCTCACAATGCGATGATTATCGAATATTAAGGTTGACGTCTCATACCCTTAGAACTTTTCTTAGAATTATCCATACACGAATTTACATGAAGTGCGAGTTCCAGATGAGTGACACTCAATTCGGATTTCGAAACGGATTGGGAACACGAGAGGCTCTTTTTGCTTTAAATGTGTTAACGCAACGGTGCAGAGACATGAATGTAGATGTATATGCATGTTTTATTGACTATCGAAAAGCATTTGACTGCGTTAATCATCAAAGATGATCGAAATTCTGGGAAAAACTGGAGTTGACGAACAAGACTTACGAATTAGCTCAGAACTATACTGGCACCAAACGGCAACAATTGAAATAGAGCACACAACATCCGAAGATATACAAATCCGACGAGGAGTGAGACAGGGTTGCGTCTTATTACCGCTATTGTTTAATTTGTATTCGGAGTCTATATTCAGACTCAGAAGACGAGGTCCAAGGCAGAATTAAGATTAAGGGAATAGACATCATCAGATTATGCTGATGATACCGTCTTAATAGCAAGCAACGCACAATAACTACAAAATATAATAAATGCGGTAGTTCACCACAGCGACATGTTCGGTTTACATCTAAGCGTTTCCAAAACTAAAACTTTAGTATTTTCAAAGACACCAATAAACGTACATGTATATGCCAAGGGTCAAATAAATAGAACAGGTAGATAAAAAGAAATCCTATCAAGAATCGAACAAGCAGGGAAAACATTCATGAGCATGAAAACATTATTTACAAGATCAGACCTTCGTGTGCAGCTTAGAATCCGAATGATCAGATGTTACGTTTTTTCTGTCTTACTGTATGGCTGTGAAAGTTGGACAATGGACTCTGAAATAGAAAAAGAATAGATGCCTTTGAGATGTATATATACAGACGAATGTTAAGAATCCTATGGGTACAAAGAGTTACTAATGTTGAGGTACTTCATCGCATCTGTAAACAAAAAGAATTACTAAGAATAATCTAAGAAAGGAAAATACAATACTTGGGTCATATGTTGAGAGGCGAAAGATATGAATGAATTTCTTCAAGTTATACTGGAAGGAAAAGTAGAGGGTAAAAGATCAGTAGGAAGACTCCAGAACTCGTGGCTGAAAGACTTGAGAAGATGGTTAGACCGCTCATCCGCAGAATCTTTCGCGCAGCAGTTTCCAAAACTACAATTGCCATTTGGATCGCCAACCTTCGAAAGGAGACGGCGTCATGAGAAGAAGAAAGGGGAGAGATCCAATAGAGCCGCCGTGGTTGACATTAGTGTGCTCCTGTGATTCAAGACAAGCAATTCTTTGCACCTTGCTTAACCGTTTGTTTTGCTTTCGGAGTTCTTATATGAGTGATCAAATGAAGCTTGCTCATTATAGGTGTTAGGCAAACGCATATCTCAACTTTGTTCTTGATATTTATTTATTTCGTATTAAAAATAGTTTCGAGATATTCTTACGTCTAATAGTAACATGGAATCACTAAATTAGTTTCAATGACAAGGAATAAATAAAAATAAGCTTTATTTGCACATATTTTTTTCATTACAACAACGTCATATAGGTACAATCCTACAATCTAATATCAACAATATAATAAAGTGTTCTACAAATGAAAATAGCAGTAAAAACCAGAAAGTTGTTGATGATATTGTTACTTAAAGATTTTCTCAGCCTCTGCTGAGATAAACACCAGTAATTGGTGGATATTTATAAAATCTATTACAGCATAATTACTTACTTCTAAAATATTTTTACTATTAGCGTATCAAAGCTTATCTTTGGCGACAAAACTTATCTTGTGTATCTATCGTGTTACAAAAATATACTACAAGTAGGTACATTACGTAAACGAATTTATATAGATATATTTATGAATTATTGACAACTAGGTTATAATTACGAAAACTCGACAGATATTTGCAGAAATTCACAAAAGAGAACTGTTTTTAACTTAATTTTTATTATATAAATCACCTTATATACTTACCAAAAATAGTTCCTAACAGAGCAATCACTGTTGGAAGATGGCACCCTAACGTTGATAATTCAAACATCTTCGTCAAATTTTGCTTCTGAATACAAATATTATTTACACACAATATTTACCCGATAAATTAAAGTGAATTACGTAATACAGAATCTTTCTAAAAAGGTACAAGATCTTAAAATTTAAGAATAAATACATTGATACTAAAATGAGCTAAGAACTTTTATTAACTTCAAAGTAATAATTACATTTTACCAAAAGAAAGACAAAAAAATATATCTGTACAGAAAGAAGATAAAAAACAAAGAATACAAATAAAAAACAAGCAAATTTAATACAAGATACCCCGGTATACAGAGGTCCAGATGTTGGAACAGATAATTACTTGCTAAAAAGAGAAATAGCTAATCCAAAACGTACGCAAAAGACACTAGTCCTTCGAACACAAATAAAAGATACACATAAAACATACGTACTACAGAAACCGAAATAAAATACTTACATAAAAAAATATTAATGCAATATTGACATGAAATCCGAAAACTCCGCCTCTGGTAATTGCTGGTTGAATTGAGTAGCTCTGTAACTATCAATACCGGTCCCAAGCCCGGATAGAGGAGGGTTTGCTTCAGTAAGGGTATCCAGCAGTAATAACCTTGGTAAAACCATGGAAAGAGGAACATGAAAAATAGTTTAGATACTAGGGCGTTCCCCGTAAGCTCAGGTTCAGTCAGGCCTCGCCTGACCAATGTGAAAAGTGAGCTAGGGCTACCAGCTTCTTCAGTAAGGTGTGAAGAGGAAGAATTTTGGAGGGTCCTTGATTGTAAGATGCTCGAGATTCCTGTAGACAAAAAGTGTTTTATTGGAGATCATTTGAATGGACATATTGGTAGAGAAAGATCGGGTATAGAAAGAGTTTATGGAGGTTTGGGATGCGAATAAGAAATGATGTAGGAAATAGTGTGATTGACTTTGCAGTGGCATGGGATTTGACTGTTATTAATATGTTCTTTATGACGACTGAAGATCAGTATGTGACCTATAGTAGCGGAGGTTGGGAAAGTCATAGATTTTGTGCTGTGTAGTCAGCTAAAAGAGGTTACCAACTTTAAAGTGATGAAGGGTGAGTATGTAGCTAGTCAACACCGACCGGTGATAATGGAGATAAAGGTAAGACGGAAAGCTAAGTAAAGTGATGGAAGTTAAAGGATAAGGATTTAGCAGTAATCTTTAAGAGTAGGAAGAGCTTGACGAAATAGATACTGGTAGAAAGACAACAGTAAAGTTATGGTGCGAGCGGGAAAGCAAGTGCTAGGAAAAACATCTAGTAAAGAGCCTCCTAGAGACAAAGAAACTTGGTGGTGGAAAGATGAAGTGCAACAAAATATTAGAGAGAAGAAAGAGGCTAAAAAGAGATGTGTCAGGTCTAAAAGAGAGAACAATAAGATCTATACATGGTAGTAAAGGGGGAAGCAAAGCGCGCTGTAGCTACTTCTAAGAAAATATCGTCTGCACAGCTGTATGAAGAGTTGGAAACACCCGAGGGGATGAAAAGGTTATATAGTATTGCTAAAGCAAGGGACAAGTCATTAAAGGACTTAGGCGTGCGACAGATTAAGAGTGTGGATGGAAGAACGTAAAGAACCGATGTTGAAATAAAGCAAAGTTAATATGAGTACTTTAGAAAGTTGCTAAATGAAGAACACCAGATGAGAGACAGAGGATGCGGGATCCCAAATAAGAATCTAATACCAGGGATAGCGAGAGATAAAGTTATCGAGACGTTAAATATGATGAAGAATGGTGTTCTTCAGGCGTTAGGACCTGATAGAATACCTGTGGAGGTTTGGAAAAATATATAGGAGAGGAAGGGATTGCTATGTTGTGGCAAATGATGAGTAGGATATATAAAGAAGAAAGGATGTACAATACATGGAGACAGATTGTGATGGTATCATTGTATAAAGATAAAGGGGACATTCTGGACTAAACAGGGATAAAATTATTATCGCACACAAGATAAATTTGGGAGAGAACTACAGAGCGAAGGTTAAAGAGAGAGATATCGATATCGAATAAAACAGATATAAAGAAGGAATATATAAAAACGTTAATACAAACACACAGCTTGTAGGTAGCTAGGATACATATATAAGTAATATCGGGAATGATGTTCATGGCAGATACGAAATAGCCTACAAAATCTTAAAATATTTAAACAAGGAAGGAAAACACACATCATGAATTCAGCATCATAACGATCTCTGATATAACCCTAAAGCTGAAATTATAGAAGACTACGAGGTGGCACTTTGGAATGTCGACGATATAACAATAAAAGTTAGTAGACGCCCTGACACGAATAGAAAACAAAGAGCTAAAAATAATGCACACAATAAACAAAAACCCACTTACTGTTTATAGTAAACTTGTATTTAAAAATTTAGTTATAATTACAACTCCAAACAAATCAGAATAACTATTTAGACTTCAGAGATTTTAATTTTAGTTGGTTCTGACATTGTTCGATATAATTTAAAACTCTGTTTTTATGTTTTCTGCACTCGATGGTGTTGCCTACCATATCGCAAAGTGAAATCATTAACTTTATGTATTTCTCATTGATTTCATAATATTGCAAATTGTTTGTACCTCCTGCAAACCGGTTCATTTCTCTCTCGACCTTCTTCGCTTCTTTTTCAATTCTTAAAACTGCTCTTACCTCGTCTGGTACATCAATATCTACACTTTCAGTATCTCGATCAAAATCATCGTCTGTTTCTTCATCTTCTTCTGTAATTGATGTAATGCTTTTGTCGAGAGTGTTAGTAGATACAAATACTTCACTTTCCCTTTCGGCAGAACGTATTTTTTCGCCCATTAATCCTTCTAACTTTTTATCGGACACTTCGTTTTGAAAACTTAGTCTTCTAAACCCTGTCTTGAAATTTCTTTCAATTCTCGTTAAATCTTCAACATCATGTTTGTCATACTGTTGCTTATTTAGACGTGTTTGGTGAAAATCTGGTTCGTATGTTTCCATCAAAGTATCTTTTTGTTTCTTTCTCTTAAAACAACTATCCTTTATTATAGAAAAAATTAAATAGCTTCCTATAATAACTAGCGTACATATCAAGATTGCAAATAAGAACCAGTAAAGTAGTGAATCCATATTGAACTGATCTTGATAATACCATTTTGAGTTATTGCTTTTATCGAGACTAGACTGATATATGGTTTGTAAATCAGAAGTTCCAAGATGTACTTGACATGTGATAAGGATTATAGATATCGGTAATCTTATATGGATTGTGTTATTAAGATAAATTACTACAAACTATAAATTAGTTAAGCATTATAATACTAGGTGAATCATCTATTTGATGATTATATAAATATATACAGGGTGAGTCACAACTAACGGGACGGAAGATTACAGCGAAACGGTAAAATATTTTGAAAAAATTTTAAATTTATAATTTGAAGGTTGATAAGGGCTACATTTTAAAATTATTTTGAAATATACAGGGCGTCCCAATAAAGTGCGGCGCATCAAAGATATATTTTTTCTTATGGGACACACTATATTTAATTGCATTTTCTACTTGTCGGCAAAAAATTAGGTATAGTTTCATAAGACTTCCCTATACCTATGTACAAAGTGTTCTGAGTTATATGGAATATTCTTAAAATGTAAAGCTTTAAACGAAGACTCATTCCTAACTTATTTAAGAAATTCTAATAAAATTGGTTATACCTCTAAATAGTTGGATGTTGGTTAAATGTATTTCATGATTAATTATTAAACATTTATTCACAGGGTGTTCAAAATTTGTAGTTTCATTATTGGATTATTCAATCTGTTATATAAGGCTTATTTTAAATGGAACACCCTGTATATTAATGAATTATTATATTAAAAACATTTTCCACTTTCGAATGGTATATTGATGTCCTATAACTAGGAGTGATAGATTTTGCGTAATTTACTTTATTTACATACTGTTACGAACATGCATTCAGCGCGGCCCGTCTAACGGTTGCATCTCAGGCATCGAGAACCATCGATGGATAGATCCCTCGAAGGCAAGAGAACAATCGGTCACGTAGGCCTAGAGGTGGGAACTTTCTAGAAAATAGTAACTTTGGTATATATATGTAACGATCTTAGGAGTTAGTTTAGTTGATAAGAGAATACCGAACTGTGAAGTTATAAATAAATATATTTATATAAATTCGAACCGCTCGTTTTATTTAATCTCGCTACAATACATTTAATTTACATAATTTATTTTGATTGGAAGCAAATCCATATATTTTGAGTTCGAAGAGCTGGTATCTTTCTATTAGTGCCAAGAAACGAAGGAGAAGAGTATAGAAATGACTTATTTCTAAATTTGAAATGAAACCAACGTTTAAGAACAATATTTTTATTAACATAAAATAAATCACATAAAGTTATAAATAAATATTGTGCCTATATAAAGAAAATAATTATAAAAACGTTATTCCCATTCCTTCATAATCGTTTCGTATTCGTGATCTTCGATAAACGGCTTATCTATATTTCTAATCATATTCTCTCCACAATACAAACACTCAGATGCTAAAATATTATCGATTTCTAGCTTGATTTGATCTTTAGCGGACAATCCGGTCGAGCCGGTGCTTATAGTGTCAATATTTATTTGGTTATTGTAAGATTGCAACTGCTTATCCAAATCCATTAGTCTATATCTTTTTGCCGGACCTAAAAACAAAAGAAAAGTTTGTAAGAGCACAAAATAATCGGTACAAGTTTTTCTAAGTCCGGTATTAATAGAGATTTTTAAGAAATTTTGGCCACACGTATTAGGAGGTACTCTAAAACTAGTGTAGTGCAGGTTAGGTAACTTAGATTACAGCTTGATATATAAATATATATGACATAGAATACCAAGTATTATTATAAAAAATACAATAATAACTGTAATAGTTTTTTAATATTATATACATAACCTACCCAGAAATGGTGACAGTTCAGCTAAGAGGCAGTCACTGTGAAACCTATGGTGGCAAGGAAACATATAAAAAGGTTTTATTAACAACGTTTTGTTGCACACTTCGCAAGTATCTGTAGTATTGATGATCGTGCGATGGTTTCTAAATGTTTCGATGTCTTCTCTAACCTGCTCTGCAGATTTGGTCGCTTCCTCCATTTCGTCCTTCAAGTTCTGAATGTGCTGGTTGTATTCCTATCGAAAACATAAACTCAAATATAAAGTACTCATTACACACCGATTATTACCTTGAGGGAACTACAAATAGCGTCTTTAAAGTAGTCAATAGTAACAAAATCTGGAAAAAAGGGCAAAATATCTTCTATCTTGATGAGATCACACTGTTGTAAGAAGTCGATCATCTCTCCTACGTCTTCTTTGTCTTTGAACACGTATTCAGCTAAAAATATAATAAATATACCTACTAAAAAAATATATTTTAGAGTTTCTAGAATTTAAAATAAATATTTTAGTAAAAAAATAAGTAAAACTATGTCTAATTCCTATAAATTGTAAAATCTAGAAATGCTCAAGTAAATAGTTTCACAAACATTTGTTCATATACTTGTTTTAATACATACCAATTTTTAGCCAAAGCTTCTTCTTCAATTCGACATCATCTTCGGGTGACATATTAGCCATCTTTTTAGCTAAGTCCACATCAATGGTCAGCGCCAAGTCGACAGCAGCTTTCCACATGCCCAGCAAGCCATACAACTGAACACAGGCTCTTTTATGATCGTGTTCGTGACACAATCTTAAAGCGTAATGTATGTCAAAATTTACCTACAAACATCACGAATTATAAAATAGGCATGGATACTAGAAAATAGTTATATATAGGTACAACATAGGTACTATTTGGAAATAATTTATTTGTAGGAAAATGTAGTATTTTAAAAATTTAGTTCAGATCTTAGGTTGAGTATGCATCGAAGTAGGTAACTCATAACACACTTTATATTAATAAGTGTTGCTTAAATACATATTTAAATTCCTACTACCGCTACAATAGTTAGGCAACACATAATACAAGTTCAATATGACATTGTTTAATGTATTAAGTTGAGCTTGTCATATGTGTCATTCTAATTTCGAAGGCAACGATGCCAGTTCAACGAAAATATTATATCAAACCAGCTAAACGCAGAGCTGTGTGACGGGACGCAAGTTTTTAGTAGACTAAAGGTCAATTCAGACACATCAGTCCCGTCATAGTCTCGGCGCCGAACCGGTCCTATTTGGTCACAGAACTATCAACTATCTGACAGCTGGGAAACTGTTTGTCAACTGATGAGTGTGAATGCCGGCAACATTTTTTTATTAAAGAATATTTTGTATGACGGATTGTTCGGTTCGGCGCAATCACTGTGACGAGACGTGACTGATGTGTCTGAATCGACCTTAAAGGTCGATTCAGACACATCAGTCCCGTCATAGTCTCGGCGCCGAACCGATCCTGTTTGGTCACAGAACTATCAACTATCTGACAGCTGGGAAACTGTGTGTCAACTGATGAGTGTGAATGCCGGCAACATTTTGTATTAAAGAATATTTTGTATGACGGATTGTTCGGTTCGGCGCAATCACTGTGACGAGACGTGACTGATGTGTCTGAATCGACCTTAAAACCTAAAATAATATTGAGCATTCTCGATCAGTCAGTCACATTTATATTTATACATTTATTTAAACATATATCTTAAAAAATTCTATTAATTTTGAAATTCACCATTCTCTCAGTACCCATACATTGATTCGTGTTTTATTATAATTTATAAAAATATTTCAATTCAAAGTAATGATAGATAATAAATCTAGACATGACTTTAAATTTATGTTTAATTTCAAATCGAGAGGTATGATTGGTTTCTCGTAAAGTGTAGCACAAAACTGTATTGAGTTGTGGAATACTACAGTAAATAAAACCCACTAGAAAAAATTAAAATTTTATTTAAAATTAATAAAAAATGAATCATTTTTACAGTGTGAACAAGTGTGGTGTTTAAATATGTGAATTACAATTAGAACAGTTAATATTTTGTCATAGCTCCATTATTATTAATCACTTCTTGTAATCTTCTGGGAACTGAGTTAATTAAATTTAGTGACAAATTTTCATCTTCGGCCAAGCTTTCCCAGGTTTCTTCAATGATGGTCCATAAATGATCTTTGTTTTGGGGAACTACATTTAATTTTTTGTATTTTGTTGATCATAAGTCCCCAAACATTCTCTATTGGATTAATATCTGGACTTTTAGAGGGCCATGGAAGAGCTTCAATCCTATTTTCCATAAGGTAATCCCGTACACGGTGGGCTGTGTGGATTGAGCAGTTATCATGCTGGAAAATAAAATTATTGTTGGGAAAAATTTCCCTAGCCGATGGCAACATCACATTATCTAATATATGTAAATAGTTTTCAGTATTAAATCGTCCTTCAATTCTCCAACACATTCCTAAACCTCCTCTATACATCCAAGCCCAAACATTTATAGAGAACCGTCCGGACTTATCACTTGATGAAATATAGTTTTCGTTAAACCTATTTCGAGGCGGTCTATAAACCCTAATATGGCATCATAATAAGACTAGAATACTTTTTCATCAGTAAAAATTACACGGTCCCAAAAATTACCTGGATCATTTAAAACGTAATTTAAAGCAAAAAGGAGTCTACTTTGTTTATGTTCCTCGCTAAATTTGTATTTTCGGGCGGCTGCCCAATTTTTTAAATCTGTTCTTCTAATTCTCCTTAATGCTGTAGTTATAGAAGCATTAAAGTTTGTATTAACTTTTGCTTGCCTTGCCGTATGGAAGGGATGCGCTCTTAAATAATTAGATAATGTTTCACCCTGTTGGGCTGTAGTAATAACTGGTCTCCCACTCCCTCTCCTTCTATCCAAAGTCTGGTCGCTTTCCCATCTTTTTTTAATGTTGTGGATTGTGGTTTTGCTTCTATTTAACTCTTGAGCCAGTTGTCTAATAGACCAACCATCTTCTATTTTTGAAATTATTCTCGTTTTATCAAACTGACTTAACTGACGTGGCATCTTTAAAAATTCACTTTGACAAACTTGTCAAATCTGACAGATGGCAAGCAATATTTTTTATGTTTAATTGTTCGAATATGATTGGGACGTTTTCACGCACTGATAACATCTAAAGATACTAAACCAGCATTTTTCAGTTATAAGAGGATTTTTTACAGTTATAAGAAGATAATGTAATACTGTCACGTTTTTAAAAGCGTTTTTCGCCCCAGATATTTTATAGTTTATAACCTATGTAGGATAAAGTATAATGTTAGTTTTTCACATTTACCGTTCATGTAATAAATAATAAATAAATTTAGGTAGTTTGCCTATTACTAAATTGATTGACATAAAATACAGTAAACAGTTTTTTGTTCTATAAGTAATTGAAGTATAAAATTACAATAGATGCATTCCAATGTTCCCTATGCCAATACTCCAAGTTTAAATATCGTTCAATATTTTGGACATTAACTCAATCCTCTTTCTGGTTATTAAATTTATTAGATACAGTTTTTTGTTGGTAATAATAAAAATAATACAGATCTAAAAACTTTATATATTTTTGAACGTTATTTTTTACGTTTTGGGTTTTATTTAAATTTACTGAAATTCCGTTATCTGTAATGGCAACAACGAATTGATTCACGAGCCAGTGTGTCCAGTCTGAACACAGGTTTACATTGGGAAAAAAAAGTGTACCAGTTTTATATGACGGGAAGTGTACCTACTGCATGAATTAAAGAGAATGGGCATACCGTTATTTTCAATGATATTTAATGTAAATTATTATTTAATTACTAAAGTACTAAATTTTTACTATAAATTTTATTTTATTAAGAAATTGTTGTAATATAAGCGTAAATAATTAAAAGACATCCAAAATTACAAATAGTTAATTTCTAAGCAGTTAGTTATACTGTAACAACTAAGAAACGCCGTTGGTGACATGTAAGGCATTTAAAAGCAAATAATATAGACAATATTTTTAGTAAAATAAAATTATGTAAGTTAACTTACCATTGTGAGTTTCTGACCTTGCGTATTCATATATTTCAACATCTCAGCATCGCATTTGTTCAAATACTTCATCAGCATATCTGAGTCATATTTAGCATACAACGAAATTAAAAAGTTATGAATAGCTTTGTCGGTATTCTTTAGTTTGTCAATACAAAACTCAAGATATTTAACGATTTCCCTAGCGTGCAGTTCGCTATTACAGGTAACCATCGCAGGTAAAAGTTTCAATGGTACCAACTTCCTGCCTTGTTCTATTAGTACCTTGATCATGTATTTCGGTATTTCTTGAATCAAAATTGGGGTGAACTGATAGTAAAGCTCGTAGTTCTTTTGGCTTTTGAGAACGTCCAGAGCGTCGTGGAAGTTGTTTTTGAAGATGTGTTGCTGAATTATCTGCATTGACGAAATTATTTTAAACAGTTAAAAAATATATCAATATGATAATAAGTACTTCATACTACATAATAAACTCAATTATTATGCTAGATAACAAACTATTCATTTTTATTTATAAAAATGAATAGTGTGGTATCTATGAAATCTGCATAAAATCTTTACTTTGAGCATTCGATTCAGTATTACTACTGATTCATTTCTGAAACAACACTGCAAAACAGAAACAACACGTTCAATTGTGTTATGAAAGGGCTTTTCCAAAGCTATAACTACTGTTTTGTTTCTATGTAACCATTGGTTGTAGAACTTCCTTAATTATAAATAATGTGACTGTTCTTCTCTTCTCTTCTTCATGTACCATGTCCTTTCAGAACGTTGGTTACCATCATAGCTATTTTAATTTTATTCACTGCCACCCTAAATAGCATGCTTGTATCTACACCATACCAATCTCGCAAGTTCTTCAACCATGAGGTTCTTCTTCGTCCTGGACTGCGTTTGCCTGCTATTTTTCCTTGCATGATATTTTGTAGCAATCTATATTTGGGACCTCTCATTACATGTCCGAAATATTCCAGCTTTCTCTGCTTGATGCTTTTTATGATCTCAGTAGTCTTGCTGAGACGTTCAAGTATTGTGGAGTTACGAATCTTCTCCACCCAGGAAACTTTTAAAATTCTTCTATAGCACCACATTTCGAAAGCCTCAAGGCGATTTAGATCGATTTTATTCACAGTCCAGGACTCGACAGCATAAAGTAAGACCGAGAACACGTAGCAGCGAAGTAGGCGGATCCTTAGTACCAATTTTAGGTCTCTGTTACATAACACCTTGGACATCCTTCTAAAAGCAGCTCTAGCCTGCTCTATTCTGGATCTAATTTCGCCGTGATTTTCTGCATTACAATTTAATTGCTGTCCAAGGTAGACGATTTTATCAACTTGCTCAAGTTTGGTATTATTTACATATATAGACGGTTTTATATTCTGTTGTTTACTTATTACAAGTATTTTGGTTTTCCTTATATTAAGATCCAGACCTGCCTCCCTACAACTCTCAACGACACTATCAAGTAGTGTTTGCAGATCTTCTTGACTAGAAGCTAAGAGTACTGTATCGTCCGCATATCGCAAATTATTGATGACTTCGCCGTTCACAAGTACTCCTTCTTGTTTCGGAGAAACAAAACAAAATTTAAAAATTCTTTCGGAGTAAACGTTAAAAAGCAGGGGTGACAAGAGGCATCCCTGCCGTACTCCTCTTTTAATATTGAGAGCTTGTGATTCCACACCATCTATTAAAACTGATGTTGTTTGATTCCAATATAAATTTGCAATTATTCGAACATCTCTGCCGTCCAAGCCAATGTCTTTTAGAGGTTCGATCAATATAGAGTGCTTAACACGATCAAATGCCTTTTGAAAGTCAATAAAACAACAGTATATTTCTACAGATATATCACGACATCTTTGAGCAAGTACGTTCATTCCAAACAGTGCCTCTCTCGTTTCAAATCCGTTACGGAAACCAAACTGAGTGTCATCCAGGTATTCCTCACATTTATTGTAGATACGACCATGTATTACCTTCAGAAAAATTTTCCATAAGTGGTTTAACAAACTGATGGTTCTATAATCAGCACAGGTTTTTGCTGTTGTCTTCTTAGGTAGAGCTATAAACAGTGAGTTAGACCAACCATTAGGTAGTTGTCCGCTGGTATAAATGGTATTGAAAAACGAAGTTATAGCCTCTAAAACATTGCTATCCTTTATAAGCTTATATATTTCAGTTGGAATTTCATCAGGACCAGTCGCTCTGCCATCTTTTGATGATTGTATGGCCTTTATAACCTCACAGCGTGTTATTAGGGGTCCGTCGCTGTTAGTAATATCGGGAGGTGAACTACTCCTATCGTCTTCGAATAGGTTCGTGACGTAATTTTCCCATTCTTTAAGTTTGTCCTCTACTTCGAATATTACTTTACCATTTTCATCTTGTAGCAATGCATTTTGTTTCTTATTGAAGATACCAGCCGCTTCTTTTACTTTTTTATACATGTTAAACGTGTCGTATCTTTTTTCTAATTCTTCAATGTCATGACACTGTTTGGCTAGATGTTGACTCTTTGGTTCTCGTATTTTAACAATGTGACTGTTATACTGATTAAAACAATGAGTTCAGACTAGAAACGTAAAAATATAATCTAACCTAAAATAATCTAATTTGAAACAATTCAAGCCAACCTAACCTTACCTGTTCAAAGTTTTTGTTGAGTATAGTCAGTTTTAAGACGTTATTTTTATCTCCGTGACTACTCATTAGGTTATAAACAGTGCCTTTATTGTTTTTAATGCAATTTGAGATTTCGTCTAAGGCTAAAAATACATCAAACTCCTTCTGCAAGTCTGCATATGCTGCCGATTGTTCTAACCCTGCTAGACGCATCTGTTCCAGTTTTACCAAATACAGTTCCATGACCCAAATGACTATCATAGTAATTTGGGTCTTATCTTGTGGTTTTAGTGTGTCCAATTTACACCTGAAATGGAATATCATAACTCGAGTGTCTCCTCATCATGTTATATTAAAGTAAAAAAAGCAAAAATAGTATCTTACCTCAAAAATAGTTTCAAAGCATTATGCTGGTTAGCTTCGATGAACTTCAGGCAGATCTCCTCCAAGCTACTCTCAGTCTCTGCATATCTTTGAGCACTGAGCTCATATTTCTGATCCCCAAACAACTTATCAGCTTCCTTTATCAAGACATGATTATAGCATTGCAAGTTCCCTCGAGAATACTTCTTAGCCAATTCGAACTCTTCATTATTACAAAATATCTGCCATATATTTCTCTCTTCGCGAGTTACTCTAAACCTAAACACAGAATTTTCTGTTATAGCCCAAATGTCACCCGTTCTCACATCTTTAACCAAATTTACCAGTCTACCAAATGCCTCGTTATAGTTGTCTTCATACACTACCTCCTGGTTGAAAAGACATACTCCTTTGACTGAGTCTGTATAGGCTAGAAGAATGTGAAACTGGGTTAAAGCTACTGCTAGGGGGTATTTTTGTGGAGTTGAATCATCATAAAGTGCTTTTGGGTATGGGATCAAGTTGGTTTTTGACTCAATAGATTTTATTGAGTCTATAGCAAGGTCAATCTAAAAAAAAAACAGCATATAGAGCAATACAAAATTTTTATTAGACGATGCAAAATTTCTTTATGAAGTGTTTTATTGCATACTTAAACATGGTATTTTATTCTTGTAAATTGTATAATTTATAACATTTATTTACTTAACGGTAGAAATTTATATTATTGCCTGACCATAAAATATAAATTGATCTTTATATACATATACTGAGTGACAAAAAAAGTAAACCTATTAAGATTTATCTGACTTTAATAATTTTTGGATACATGTTCATGTTCAATGTCTCTTACTAGTAAAAGGATGAAATTTTCAGCTTGATTCGTCAACCTACTGCAGCGGCTGGTTCAATAATGTGTTGAGGCTCCATGATTTCTTATACACTTTATACACTCATTAACATGCCTGGGCATCGTTCTAATGAGGTCGTCGATATTTTGTTGGAGTATCTCAATCCAGGTTAGTGCAACATCGTGAGTAAGACCTGCTAAAGTCTGTAGAGGGAGTTGCAAATTCAAGACATATCTCAGACATGGTCAATTGGAGACAGATCAGGCGATCGTGGGGGCCAAGGTAAATAGTTGATGTGATTTTGATTCATGAAGGCTAAGGATTCTCTGGAAATATCAGCATTGTCTTGCTGAAAAATCGGGTTTTTGGATGATGTTTAGGTATGGAATAATATGATGCTCCACTACTTTCTGAATATAGCGTCGGGTTGTATAATATCGCCTCTTATAAAAATTAGTGGTGAAAAATTAAGCAATGGCAACCCATAGCATAATTCCCACGGTGTGATGACCTGATTCTCTGTCAATTTGTGGGTCACGACGTTCACCACGTCGCCTTCTCACCATTGTTCAACCATCATGAATTACCAAAAAGAAGCGATATTCGTCACTAAAGACCACCTGATTCAATTCCCTGTCCCATAAAATTCTTTCCCTACACCAGAGCAAACGATCATGTCGATGTTCAGCTAGGAGAGGTAGCACCCAATGTGGGTGATAAGAAAAAAGGCCAAACTGTCGTATTCGGCGATATACTGTACGCATATCAACCATCCTTCCATGCTCTTAAAACCACTGATTTACGATAGTTCGTGTACTACTGAATCTGTCGCTTAGAGCCACAAGTCTTACTCGGCGAGCCTGTCGCCCTGAAGCCCCTCTGTGACGTCCAGAACCCCTTGCTCGGTGTCCTCAGTCTTCCCGAGTCCGGCTCGTTCACACTGCAGTATACTATCGACTTAAAACTTAACAAGTAAACATGAAAATTTTATCACTTTCTGTTCATGGTATGATAAGTCGATATGTAAAAAATTAATGAATTCTAATAACGCAAATCAGTATAAATTTGCCCTTCTTTTCGAACCGCTTTCGGAATCTAACTGACTTGTGTAGAAGACGCTAATTCTCGCTTCGAATGTTCGAACTGTTTCGAAAGGTTCCTAGAGACGTCAGAACATCAGTTCCTTCATCGAACGTATTAGAATCGTCGATCAGTAGCATAGCAAAGACTTGGGCATAACAATATTTTATATTTCACTTGATATTTTCCTTGCATCTTCTAATTCCAAAATAATTAATCAATTAAACATAGCTAACATAAAAAATTGGAGTTCAAAAGGGGTAGTGAGGCGCAATACAAGATGCTGTTTCCAGTTAGCATCTCTAGCCTATCCTACTCAATTCCTATCCTCACCTCCACGAAGTGCGGCTTGAGTTGCACGGGCGAACCCCGGAGAACCTGAGCAACCCTGCTGGAGATTGAGTAACCAATCCCAGTGGAAGGCAGGGTCAGGGCAGACGAGGAAGGGAGAACTGGTCCTCCGAAAAGGGGGTTTTGCTATGGACCAGCAATACGTACATGGAAAAAGAAACAGGTACGAATCGAATACTATTGTCTCGGAATAGAATGGAACACGGATTAGACCCAAGCTACGAAATAAAAACATTCTCTTAGGCACATGGAACATGTTAAGCTGGTTTAGGCCTGGAATTACAACACATGCAATAAAACAGCTTAAAACATATAAGATGGACGTAACAGCGATTCAGGAAATGAGATGGATAGGATCGGGAAGCCTGCAAATGGAAAATTCCCTGGTTTTCTGGTCAGGAGAAGAAAAAAGGCACGAATTTGGATGTGGGTTTGTAGTTAACGGAAAACTGAAGTCTGTCATAATTGATTTCAAACCAATCAACAAGCGAAAGTGCTCCCTAAGACTCAAAGGAAAATGGTTTAACTTAACCCTCCCCTCAATCCACGCACCAACGGAAGCAAATGAAGACGACAAGAAGGAATTTTATGAAATTTTAGAGTAACAGTTACACAACGGCAACCAGATACGACGTCAAAATCATACTTGCAGGACCATCTTAGAGCGGTGATCGGCACACATAGGTTACATGATAACACTAATGATAACGGATCAAGACTGGCAGAATTCGCTGTAGTCAACAATATGGTAGTAAAAACTACACAATTCAAATAAAAAAGATATACATAAAGTAACCTGGGTGTCAAATGACGGATTCACAGGAAACCAGATAGACCATGTGCTTATCGATGGCAGACATTCTAGCAATAGCATCAGCGTACACAGTCTGAGGGGAGCAGAAAGTGACTCTGACCACTTCTTGGTCAGAACAAAAATGGAAAAAAAACAACGCCAATAAGAAAACAGATGGAACATTTTAAGGCTCAATTTACCTGATAATGAACACCAATATCAGGCAGTGATCCAAAACAAATTGCAGAAACTGAAAGAAGAAAAAACATCAAAGCCAGAATTAACCATAGACCAGAAATGGCAAAATATAACGAACGACATAGAAAGTGCCGCAGCGGAAACTATAGGAAAAGTAAGGAATAACAAGAAGAAAAACTAGTGGTTTGACCAGGAGTGCGAACAAAGCTTGCATCAGAAAGCAATCAAGAAGCTAGAGTTATCAACACACCCTACAGAGGAGAATAGGGAAGACTACAACAGAGTAAGGACTCAAACGAGAAGATTTTTAAGAAGAAAAGAGAAACAGTATAATTTTTATTTATTTTTATAATACAATTTTTTAGATATATTGCACACCTATACAAGATCTTTGAGATAAATTATTTTGATATGACTGTAAATACCATCTGTTAAGTTGGCAGCAAATAATTAATCTTTTCTCTATATTTTTATTACACTTACCTGACAAAACGATATCCCCTCACTGGTTACCCAAGCAAAAGAATTAGGTGTGGTTAAATTTTCAGACCATAATTGCAATTTTGAAAACTTTTTGTCACTGTGGCATTCCATGAAAGTCTGAGCTTCGGGCACATTTAAGTATTTGTTGAAAACTTGCTGTAATACTGGCTTTTCAGCAATATTAACTGAACTGGAAAAGTAATACAGTTTTGAAGGAGTGGCTACAATTATGACAAACTTGTCAGTGCCAGGAATCCTGAAAAATTCTAGTCCTTGTATTGGGTTGTTTTGCCCTTTTCCAATGTCAAAAACCTTAAACATGTAAGAAAGTACGATCAGTTCAACATAATGTAACTCACACATTCTATACATGTACAAATGATAGTTTAAATATTATAAATCATTTTTTCAGGCAATATTAGGTAAAATATTAACTAAATTACCAAGCCATCATCATCCTTGTTTCCATACAGTGGTAAATAATTTGGTAGCTTGCAAATAATAGAAAAAAATATGAGATATGATAAAAATATGTTAAAAAGTTTGGTAATTTGTACATATGACTATTAATTAAAAAGAAATGGAGAAAATTGTTGCCAACTTTCTCTGAAGAAACACTTGAGAGTATGAAAATTATGATTAACTTACCTGTCTCCAGTATTGTTCCAAGCTAGAAGAAAAACTGGATGCAAAAAACTTGTCTCCTTCAAGAGCAATTTCAGTTTCAAATATTAACCCTTTAGAAGTACCTGAGATACAAAACCATTGATAATTATGACCAGCGTTTACAAACTTCAACAAAAAAAATCAAAAATTTATATCATAACAACATACCATTAAAGAATGTAATTAAAGCAGGCTTTGAAACCCAATGCTCTCTATTGATCTATATTTTGCTAATAAAACACATTTACCTAACAGAATAGGTCCAGTAGTACTCTCAGATTCATTCAGTGGATTCCAAGCTACAGCTGTAAAGTCATTGCCTCTAAATTTAGGTGTAGTCCTTACTTTATCTAGCTTTTTTGATAAATACAGTAACTCTGGACCACCATCAGGAACTTTGGAAAGGAAAGTTAAAAGTAAATGGTTTCCAGTTGGATCCAAAAACAGATTGGTAAGCTTAGAGGTAGTTGTATACTTCGATAGTGAGATCTCTGAAATTTTTTATTATTTAGTTACAATAGGTTAGTAGAAATTATACTATATCAATCATAAGTATACAAAAACATTCATTGGGTAAAGACACATTCTCTTTGCAATATTTATTTTATGGTACGATTCTCGAAGACATTACCTGATGTTTGCTGTGGATTATTGAGATTCATACGAAAAAGCACACAATTTGACATAAAAATCACCAAATGTTTATTAGCAATGGCTACATGGGTTATTTTTTCTGAAGGAGAAAAATCCTTTTTGCTCTTGGAAAAAATTGGTAGCTCAGGTTCCAGAGACATGTTTATAAAACCTGCTGTACACTGAAATAATGACAATAATTATTTTTGATTGAATATCAATCCAATTAAGACATACCAATTCTGGATCAAGTGTGTGTTTAGTATTCATAGCTGCTTGTTCGAACTGATCAAACATAGAAGTCATTTTGTTTATTTATGATATAATTAATAAACACAAAGGTTATTTTTACTATCTATAATTTATAAGTAATTTAAAGAAAATACTTCAACCACTTTGTTTATCTTTCAGCTGACAGTTGCTTTTGAGGTTAAGAAATCCGCCCCTGATGTTTTGTATACCAGTGTGAAGTTTGCAGCGATTTTAGTTAATATTTATAATTTTGTTGAAAAATAAACTACATTAAAAGTACTAACAAACTTTATTATTACAATCTACAATTCTATAACTCATCATCCGATAAATTAGTATCAAGTTGTGGTGGAACTTTACAATTTTTTAAAAACTCATTAAATTGCTCTGGAATACTCATAAACCTTTTAATTTTCCTTCTTAACTGCTTCCACGTTTCTTGGTTGTAGTTCTTTTTATCTTTCTCCATAGCTTTATAGTCATTTCCATATTTTTCTAATAAATAAGACAGCCACTCTACTTGATTTTTCGGTAACCTGAATTTCCTTTCTCTTGGTGCTTTAGCGTCTTCTTCTAATGTTTCAACTACATGCGACTTAGGTGCTGGTAATGCCTCTTCTACGTCTTCCGTTGTCGAGTTATCTTCTGTAGATAAAACACTTTTTATTTGTTTCTTGGTTTTTGGAATTTTAATTGTTTTGTTTGGATCATAGGACAGTCCCATTTCTTTAAGATTTGTTTGTATGGATTTTTTAGATTCCCATGATAGTTTTACTTCCTTACTAAAAAAATACACCACATTGAATGTATATACAAAGTATATATATATAAGTAAATAAAAGGAGGAAATGAAATATAATAAACGCAAGACATACCATGCAATAAATCAACTGTAAAAAAACTAGGATAAATGTTTTTCTACAATTATTTCATAAATAATTTATGAAGTAACTGTAGTCTCTTTGAATTGTCGAAAAACTGTGTAATAGTTGGGACAATTAACAAAACATTAACTACAACTTACCATCCTATATTCTCTTCTTTAAACAACTTATTCCTTAGTCGCTTTCTATTAACATTGTGCATATATCTCTTCCGTTTCCTTTGTTTTCTGAGTTTAACCATATTTTATAATTATAACTAAGATAAAGCAGCAATTTTGAAATTTATTTATTTATGTTTTATAAGAAACGTGTACTTTTGACAGTTGTTATTTTGTCTAGGTTAGTTTTCTTCTTATTTGAATCTGAGTGATCAAATGAAGCTTGATCATTTTAGGTGTCTAGCAATTACATCTATCAACTTTGTTCTTGATATTATTTATTTCCTGTTGTAATAAATATTAAAGATAGTTTTGAGATATTATTCTTACGTCTAATAGAAAAATGAAATCACAAAATTGGAGTCAATGACAAGGATTAGATATAAATAAGCTTTATTTGCATATATTATTTTATTATAATATCTATACTTATATATACAATATAATAAAACAATAACATAAAGTGTTCCACAAATGAAAATAATAGCACCAACTAAAAAGTTGTCGATAATATTGAAATTTTCATACATAAATTATCATAGCGGAAAACATACGTTTTGGAAGACACTTTTGAACACTTCACGAGCTGTTGATCACATCTTTCTTTTAAAGATCTAGACAGCTAGACATTTAACAGAAGCTTTAGCATAATAACATTTTATTCACTTGATAACATGTTGAAGATCGATATGTGAACCATGTTCAAGATAAATCAATAATGTAGATCGTTTATCTCCAATAAATAAAAAAAAACTTTAAAAATAATTTCCAAATGTCTCTAATTCCATCCAGCCATTTTTTTGTTGCAGCTGAGGTTATTCCTGTAAATTCTTGATTTCTAGAAGCCATCCACGAATCCTAAACATGTTGTTCACGAAAAACAATTAATGGAGGAGTTTTTTGTCCATCTGGATTACACGCCATTAAAACAGTGTTGTTATGTTAGTTCGTATTTGAATTCCGAGCAGTAAACACGTACTCATATCGCTCTCGAGATTCAAGTTTCAAGTTTTTCTGCCGGCCTCGGCTATCGGCCGGGACTAGTTTATTGCTGATAATTAGTGAAATAAAAATAAAAGTAAATAACTAGTCTTAAGTGATTAATTTTAAATAACTATTTATGTGATTAATTTTTAACCAGCACTATACTAAGGAAATGTATCTACCACCAAAATTTACAAAATCAAGTGCCAAATGGGGAGTTGTATAATGTGCCCCAAATATATACCCAGCCTCAACAACCTCCAATAATATCGCCCCCATTCTATGGGTTCCCGAGCAATGTCCAACAGGTAACAAACCAATATATACCGGCTACTCCATTCCTAAACAATAATCGCCAATATAACCTAAACCCTCCTGCACCTCCAATGGATCAACCAAATACATCAAATGCCACCCAATACACCCTCAGCGAAGAGAAAACTGTCATGGAAAACTCGAGCGACCAAGACGACGAAACCATAGAAAACGTTCACGATTGGCAAACAGTCAAAAAAATTACAAAAAAAGGAAGGCAAACCCCAAAGATGACAACACAACAACGCAAGTGAGTACAAACAACAGATTTGAACCATTAGAAAACTTAAACGATAGTAATAACACACCAGTAACACCTAAACCTCCACCTATATTTATCTATGGGGTAAATGATATTAAAAAAATGACTGAAAACCTATCAACAGTCATTAAAGCTGAAGACTACCAGTTGAAAGCTCTTCCAAATGATACAATAAAAATAAACCCCAAAACTACAGAATCATACAGAAAACTTATACAGCATTTAAGTAGCAACAAAATAGTTCACCACACATACCAAGCAAAACAAGATAGAGCTTATAAGGTAGTTATAAGGAATTTACACCACTCGATGCCGGTTGAAGAAATAAAAAGTGAACTAGGTAAATCGGGACATACTGTCCGTAATATCATTAACGTTTTGCACAGAGTCAATAAAACACCTTTGTCAATGTTCTATGTGGACCTAGAACCCAAAGAAAACAACAAACACATTTATACACTGGATCATATCGGCAATATGAAAGTCAGCTTTGAACCCCCTCACAAAAAGAACAATATAACACAGTGTCAGCGCTGTCAACGTTATGGACACATAAAAGCGTACTGTACAAGACCATACGCATGCGTGAAATGCGGAGGAAGTCACCCATCACCAAAATGTACAAAACCCAGAAATACACCAGCAAAATGTGCCCTGTGTACAGGAGAACACACTGCAAACTATAAAGGCTGTGTAATTTACAAGGACTTACAAAATGCAAGAAATAATCGCCAAAGCGGAAATCAGTCGACCCATAATAATCCGAACCCACATCAAAATGTTAACCCAGCACCAACTTCACAGTACCAGAGTAAACAATCACAGTACCAACAACAGAATGGAACCCAATCCTATGCCCAAGCAGTAAGAGCAGGAAATCAAGTAGCTGACATAGGGTCTCAAATGAACTTATTCTTAAACGAATTTAAAGCAATGTTCACCCAACTAATGAATCAAAACAGCATGATCCTTACCATGCTAACAACATTAATTAACAAAATTCGTTAGATCTGTTCGAATCGCCGAGTGGAACGCAAATGGTTTAGCAAACCATAAAGCAGAAGTAATCCAATTCCTAAAGGACAACAAAATAGACATCCTTCTTGTATCTGAAACGCATTTCACAGAAAGAAGCGTCATTAAAATACCTCAATACTCAGTCTACCACACTAGTCACCCAGATGGAACAGCCCATGGAGGATCCGCAATAATTATAAGGAACAATATACAACACCATCAAATGCCGGAACATAAAACAAATGAGATTCAAGCAACAATACTTAATATAAATGCCAGGCCTTGGGACTTCGAAATTGCTGCAATATATAGTCCTCCTAGATATAGAATCACAACTGAAGAATACGAAGAACTATTCAATAAGCTAGGTAACAAATTCATTGTTGGAGGTGATTGGAATGCTAAGCATACGAATTGGGGCTCACGACTCATTACACCAAAAGGCAGAAGCCTATTAGATGCCATCAACAACACAAACTGCACAAAATATTGTACAGCGGCATTCTTAGATGTAGAAAAGGCGTTTGATAGAGTATGGCACACTGGACTCTTATACAAACTCAAAAGCATTCTTCCAACTCCCTACTACCTAATTATGAAATCCTACATTGAAGATCGTTACTTCCAAGTAAAATATAACACAGCAACTTCCACATATTTTCCCATTAAATCAGGCGTACCACAGGGTAGCGTCCTGGGTCCTCTCCTTTACCTATTATTTACCGCAGATATCCCAACCACCGAAACAACCCAAATTTCAACGTTCGCTGATGACACCACCATAATACCACCATAATCGCTGTCAACGAGGACCCCATTATCGCGTCTGCACAACTGCAAAACCACCTTAACCAATTGGGAACATGGCTCAACAAATGGAAGGTGAAAGTAAATGAAACGAAGTCATCCCAAGTTACATTTACAAACCGAAGGGATGTATGTCCAACAATCACATTAAACGATACACAATTACCAGTCAGCACACAAGTTAAATATTTGGGACTAACCCTTGACAAAAGATTAACATGGAAGCCACACATTCAAGCCAAGAAAACCCAGATCAACATCAAAATACGACAAATGAGCTGGCTTATGGGTCGAAAATCAAAACTCAATACTGAAAATAAACTGCTCCTGTATAAATCTATGATAAAACCAATTTGGACCTATGGCGTTCAACTCTGGGGTTGCTCAAAGCCATCAAATATCAAGATAATACAAAGAGTCCAATCAAAAATATTGAGAATAATATTCAACGCGCCCTGGTATGTAAGCAATAAAACCCTACACGAGGACTCAGCTACACCTTTGGTAGAGGAAGAAATTCAAAGGATCACAAAGAGCTACCTTGATGGTCTGAGAAGTCATCCAAATGATGAAGCAAGACTACTAAACGCTCCTCCCGAATTCGCAAGACGACTGAAGAAACAATGGCCAACAGATTTAATAAATTAAATATATTATGATCTAATGTAAAAAATATAATAGGAGAGTTGCCACAGGGCAGCTTCTCCCTCATGTATTTAACATTCAAACTATTTACTTATAGCTTCGATGAAGCAGATTGTAAATTAAATTATGCTATAAAAAAAAAAAATAATGTTATAAGTTTGCCTGAGAAAAATGGTTAAAAATTAGGTTTGGAAGTTGTTAAAAATTTTAATTTTACAATATTACTCGCCACTATATATATATATATATATATATATATATATATATATAAATATATATATATATATATACATATATATTATATATATATTATATATATATATATATATATATATATATATATATATATATATATATATATATATATATATATATATATATATATATATATATATATATATATATTTTTTTTAGGCGTTACGCCCGTCCGGTAGGGATCTATGGAGGAGTATCACCGAGCCGCAAGCCCTTATCTCTTGCCGTACTGCTCCACCATAGGCCGATCAGATCCCAGCATATCCTAGTCTAAGCCACTGATTCATCTAGAATTTTAAACTGCTGCGTTAGACTTTTTGTTTTCTGTACACCGAGCTGGGGCTCGATCCCACATCCACTGAACCATTCGACAGTGAAGCGAATGAGAGGCAGCCGCACAGCCCGCTGAGCTATCTGACCGACCTCGTCACTATATATTTAATTAAAATGTAAATAACAACGAAAATAAATAATTATTGTACATATATGCGCCAAAAGAATTTTTTTCGCAAACCACTGACATTCCGGAAACAAAAGTCTGCCATAAGTATCTGCTACTTTGGACGCAAATATTTATTCATAGGTTCCTATCCTTAGTATATTATATCGATGAATAATATACATATTATTAGTTGTCATACCAGTGTCGTTACGCCCTAACTCTATTTTACGTTATATCCGATACCTCGCGTTTTTAACAACTGTTAAACCTAATTTTCGACCATTTTTTCTTAGGCAACCTTATATCATCATATTTAAAAAAAAATAGCCTTAAGTTAATATTAAAAAAATGCATATAGTCACTAGCAGCGTATTTTATTTAAAAAATAAATGGACTAATTACTATTAATTGAATTAAAACTATTTGCTGCCACTTTT